CTCTTTCGAATTCCGACTGGGACACAAATATTTTAATGAGATGAATAGAATAAGAGCATACTATAATCAGCATAGGTCTACAATAAAAGAAAAAACATTTATAATACACAGAAAGCTTACGCAATCTTAGTCTGATATTCGAGTCACATCGTAAATCTAGAACATTCGGTGTAAACAGTTTCAAAAATCCTCATCATAACTACGCAAGTAGATATTTCCGTAGAGATAAAACAGATAATTATAAAACCGTACGAAAATCTTTTACATCCCATTAGTACATCTAAACTGGGACTGTTATTATAATTCTTTATCATCTAGAGACCGTATGACGCACTAAAAACATTTTATTACTAACAATGTTATTATATATATTTATTATTTTATTTATTTATTGATTTGAGCAAACAACAAGGTCAAACACTGTACATGCAAATAAATTAATAATTTATAACAAAGACAATGTGCTGCCTTAATGAAAGGTTACCACGACATGCATATGAAAATGTAACCTGGAAGTCCGTGGCCCCTACAATAAACAAGCTTAATAGTTATTTAAGATACGAGTGCGGAAAGTAAGATTTTACGAATAAGGGCCAAATTGAAAACACGGGCGCAGCGAGGGTTTTTTTTATTGAACCGAATTCGAAAAACCTTTTACGCTCAAGTTTCTTACAACATTTTTCAATGCTTTTTGCGAGGAAATAAAAAAAATATATAGGTTAATAAAACTAAGTATGTATTAAAGGTAAAAATTATTTGTTAAAATTAAACGTTTGTTTAATTATGTTTTCGTGTCATATATTTTATTTGAAAATATTCGTTCTAGGCTCCTTGAAATACTTTTGCCTCTAAAGTTTGACATATTTACATCATTTTTTGTTTAATTTCTTTGGTGCTCGGCCAAAAAACATATTTTTAAGCACGTTCAGTACATTTTTATTTAACACGTGTTTAAAGACTCACTTTCGGTGTTTACAATGGATTAAAAAAATAGCGCTTTATGAGCAACTGCATTGAAAATGTAATTATAGCATAACATACTTTTTAAATTAAAATTAAAGAAACTTTATAGGATAAATCTAATAGTGACTATGGTTAATAATATATTGCCATTGACATCAAGCTACACATTTAATTAAATATTTTATTTTAATTATTAGAATGCCAATTTTAAGACAAAACAAATTTTAAGACTCGAAGCTGAACTGTTACGAAACAAATAAAAATAACGGAACAGAGTGCGCCCATAGATGACAACACTTCATCGACATATGTTGTTGACCTGTTTTTAAAGTTTGACAATTTAATTCTAAAAATGTCAAATTCTTTGTTTTTTGATATACTTTTATATTAGTTTTGTAATCTGTTGTTTTTTTTTTATGGGATAGGGGGCAGACGAGCAGATGGATCACCTGATGGTAAGTGATTACCGTCGCCCATGGACACCTGCAACACCAGAGGGGCTACAAGCGCGCTGCCGGCCTTGGAGGGAAGGATTAAGGGGTAGAGGGAAGGGAATAGGGAGGGTTTCGGCCTCCGGTACCCTCACTCACTTCACGTCGGTTTTCTGTGAGGCCGTGGTATCACTCCGGTCGAGCCAGCCCATTCATGCCGAAGCGTGGCTCTCCCACGGTCAAAAAACGGAGAAGAATATCCTAGTTTACTTTTAGTTAATTTAGCGGAAGATAAGGTGTATCTGGACCAATGCGCAAGTTTATAAGGGACATTAAAATTTATTTTATTCACCAGTTCGGGACAATCTAAGATTCCATTCGACAGTGTATATAAGAATACTTGATCTATTTGTTTCCGTCTTTTCAAAGAGTCCATTCTAAAGTATTTTAATCTATCCGCGTAAGATGTTACCTTTTTAGCTATTTTTAATTGATAAGCCAGATGGTACAGAAGCTTCTTTTGTATTCTCTCATTTTTATTTGAGTGCACTTCGTAAAAGGTCACCACGATTATTCATCATCACCAGCCCTTTTACGTCCCCACTGCAGGGGCTCTGGCCTTCCTTATGGATGGTTAAGGAGACTGGGCCATGACCCTCCACGCTGGCCCAATGCGGATTGGAGGGTATTAACGACTGCAAATGCAGCCGGGACCAACGGCTTAACGTGCCTTACGAAGCACGGAGTAGCTGGAGATAATAATGTTTTGGTCACCCATCCCGTGACCGACCCTTGCGAAAGTTGCTTAACGACTACGATCGCGGGCCGAGGCACTTATTCACTACGCCACCGAGCTACTTATTATATTTTATCATTTTTGCATTAACAACGCTATACTGAAAAATATTACCAATGAAAAATGCTTAAAAATCCACTTGTCCCCGGCACTGAGTAATACATATTCATCGAATATTAGTCTTAACAAGAACGTCGTACTCGCAAACAGAATTAGCTATAGAGATCACTCGGTATCCATACATATCAAAGGTTCAATTATTTTTTCCCTTTCAGTTCAAAATTTCCAATCTAGTATCATGCATGTTGGGGTTTACGAGTCAGGGTCGCCATCCATCCCGAATTTACCGGGAAGAGTCCCGATTTCAATGATGTTGTCCCGCGTCCCGATTTCTTATTAATTTTGTCCCGATTTTTATAACGCTTGACAATAGCTCCATATTTCTACATTCTTATAGTCAATTTTTTATTTTTCCGATGACACACTTTGAACTAAAGTCCAATTACTTCTGAGGGACGTTCGAAAGTCCCGAATTTAGTGAGAATATTTTCAATAAACAGAAAATTGATGTCACTGTTCCATCTTAATTCAGTGATTTAGGAGAAATTACAACTCCAATGACATGGAGAACAATGGAGGTGAAGTGCCACTTTAATTTATAATAAGAATTTAGTGACAAAGTAAATTTACAAGTAACATAGAAGCAGGAACAAAAAGAGGGTTAGCACTATGCTAGGGGCCAGGGCGCCAAGTAACCATTGGCTGAACATTCAATTGAATAAAAGGAACTGAAGCCATAAAAGAATTAAAGTAGATGACTGTTATCTTACAAAGAATATAAATAATAAGGTAAGTAGCATTTAAGTAAATAAATACTGATATTAAAAGAAACAATACAAAAGTGTACACAACCTGTCACAAGATCACAGCGAGGAAAATAAGGAAATGATTATTAAAATGGTGTTAGTAAAACTGCATATTAGCTGTTTTGTCCTTACACACGACAAAGAGCTCGAATATCCATGGTGTCGCCATCGTTGAGGTCCCGGGGTCAATGTTGGTATAAAAAATATTGTGTAAGCTCTGGCCGAGACTGAGTTGTGACTGATCTGTGCGAACTTTAATTCGGCAATTGTTCACAAGTTGCATAGGAGACACAAGAATGTAGAATTTTAGTATTCAAAGGGCAAGAGCACCTAAAGCCACAGCTACACATTGGCCTTATTGCCACCAGTGTAAACATTACAGTGTAATGTATTGGAGCCAATAAGTCAATGTGGATCAGGCTTTTCAAATGGAGCCAAGAATAAATGCAAAGACGAATCCAAAGTGTGGCTGCAGCTTGCAACTTACTATGAGGCCTGTGCCAAAGCAGCAAGTAAATAAATACATCTAAGTGGTTGTTGGAACTTCATGGTTTCTGATTCCCATTAAATAAGGGCTTACAACAACGAAATATAATAAACATGTGTGTAAATTATTATTATATTTGAACAATTTTGCATTTATAATGCTATAATGAAAATATTTTTAATGAAAAGTTGTTCTTTTAGTTCTAAATTGTATTGTACACACACATAAAATAAAAATACTTAAACCGAACATATTCGGCACCTAACCAAATAATTCAATAAAATAATTCGGCAAAACATGAATAGTGTAAAAGATGCAGAATACACCAAATACCAAAGAATATTCGCTGCATCTCTATTAGTAAATAAAGTAAAAATATTGGAAATAAAAATTGATCTGTGTATTTTTTATAATAAGGTACAACACTACACAATTTACAAAGTTCAAGACATTTGCCCCACTTTCTCAATACATAATTGGCATAATCATATGTAAGGAGTAACGTGATTTATTCCACTTAATAAACAATGGTTATTAAGTGGCATAAAAACATCAAAAACAGGATGGTATCAGTGCAACAGATTTTTTCAGTTTTGTTTTTTTAAATTTTTTAATATTATTTATAGTGTTTTATAAGACCCAAAAATAAAACCTTGCCTGAAAGTGATTGCTTTCTATCAAAAAGGCTGTCTTTTGAATAGTATTTTTTACTCACATTATGTTATTATTAAATATATTATCATTTATAATGGTTATAAGTTTTAGCATTTTCTGAGCATGTTTTGCATATTTTTGTCTTGCAAAAAACAGAAAGACAGATGTGTATAAATTATTCTAATTTATCATGCAATATAAACTTATGCAACTTTGATGATGGTTTAATCCATTATAGTATCACACATGTAGTTGAAAGGCCTTACACAATTACTAATCCTAATAGTAGAATTATAAAGTTGTTTTGTTAATTGTAAATATAAAATAAACCTTAAATATAATTGGAAGTCCCTAAATATTTTTCAATACACTTTGATCGATTGGCGTAAATCATTCCCCATATCTAAATCTCAAGAAGGTTATGTATATCCAGGTGCCAGAGTTATAGGAAGTTCTAATCACAAAAACAATGTTATTCTTTATAATACATCTATCATTTTATGTCGTTTCGTAATAAAAATGACTAATCAAGTTTAGATAGCAGAAAGTACTATTGTTCTGTGTGCAGAAAACAGTGAAAGTGATGAAGTATCTGTATGTACTTGCAATAATGGGTTCACGGCCACATCGAAAATAACCATAATATATAATACATAATCAAATCAACGAACGGATCTGTACTCTCAGATAATATTGCATCGAGAACAAGAAAATATCAGACGACATAGCCTACATAACGGTATTTCGACCGCCAGATTGTTTTTATATCGGCCTGGTGGCTACTGAACAACGTCTACACTTACCTTAAAGTAAACATCCATGAGAACACTGTCGGGTAGTGTCCTCAGAACACTTCGCTCACATTTTGATTTTTGCAAATAGTTCACTAAATTCGTCAAACACAATTCGTACAAATTATCGGGTATTTTATTAACGCGTAACGACGACGGCGCGTCAGCCATTTTGGCCAGATAGAACAAAACTCTTCTCATTGTGCTCAACGTTTTGACAACTCCCTGGTTATGTACGATGTTCAAGTCATATTTGAAGTTCTTATTGGGAGATTCCGCAGTCTGTATTTTGCTTTTACTTCAGTGCTTTCTGTGATTGGTTAGATTCCTGTTTTCAATCTCCAATGAAAATGTTTCAAAAAGAGAAACTGACAAACGATGTTCTGTCCTTTTTTGACTTGAACAATATGAAACGCGCGTGAGAGAAAAAATAATTGGATATGTTGTTCGCTACTAACAGTCAGCTGATTGACAGCTCACCAATGGCGTCCGTCGGGGTGGCACATACGATTCCCAGCAGCGCAGGAGTTTTGTGGTGTAGGGCAGCGTCATTCTCTTGGATTTCGAAATAACTTCTCTTACAGAGTAGGGACAAATGGCAAAGTTATAATTTGAAGAACAATGATAGTTAGTCCTACTACGCGTGCTGTGCTGGACAGTTTTTAAAATTCATTATAAAAACAGAGTTCTAGATGTGGCGCTGTTTCGCTGACGGCAGTACCGCAACTCTAAATAAAAATAAAAATTAATGATCCAGTAATTGTGAATTTGTAGCCATTTGGAGGCCTTCAGTACCCTTAGGAGTACTATAAATGTTTGGAATTTATTTCGAAGATAGCAATTTGAACTTGTTTCTGACTTGCAACAAGTTTGATACATCAAAAAAGAAGACTTGGTTCAAGTTTGACATTACAACTGCAGCAAGTTTAAATCGAACTTTCTAATTTCAGTGTGACACACTTGCACTACCCTTGACGTATCAAAGGTAGTGCATGTGTACGTAGGAACTAGGTACTCGGGTACTCGAGTACCTGGAATACAGGTTTCGAAGCAAATATTACTTTAAGTTTAGGTACTGGGTTTTTACTAATCTTTTGATTACTCAAAACTTTTGGTCTAAAAGCGATTGCGACTTTAAACTCAGACCTCAGCACAGAGTCTAGCCTAAGTGCCAAAATTATTAACTGGAACGGTAGGTTTCGAATCCCATGTTAAGATCTTTTTTTTCGGCTCTCAACCTTAAAGGTTCGGAACCATCTTCCCAGCGGCGGAAGGAGGCGGTGTGTCCTTCATTGGATACCTCACAGCCGGCTGCGAGGTTATGTCAGACTCCTACTGACTAAATAAATACCGCCTTGGACAGTTGGTTACGTGCCCTGAAAGGGCAACGGACCTTCATCTGAACGACCGACCCCCGCAAGGGGGTTAGATGTCACTATTCACCTACATTAATAGTGGCGTTGTGATGTTAGCCGTTAGCCCTGAGGGGGTTCGACTTATTGGATAGACATTATGACTGACTCCCTGAAGGGGAATCATCTATGTTTCAGTGCGCATAAATAAAAGCTTGTTTTTAATAACCTTTTTATTATAGATTATAAATTTTTATAACCGAGTTAATCACAAATTGAAAAAAAATATTAGCTCCTAATTCAGTGGTGGCGATGGACAATGCCTCCTACCACTGTGTACAGGTTGAAAAAATACCTACAATGTCGATGTTACGCGAACATAATGTTGACTACACCAGAAAATACTTAACCCGAACTCCTTTATCTGATAAAAAGAACTCAGTCCGAAAAAATTACACCTTTGACGAAATTTTAAAGGCTGCAGGACATATCGTTGTTCCCCTTTCGCCGTATCATTCCGATCTCAACCCCATTTGGCTAGTGTGGGCCGATATAAAGAACAATTTAGCTTTAAATTATATAAATTCATCATTGGACGACAAAATTCTAATCATCACAAGATTTCTTTCTGAATTCAATCCGCAAAAATGGCAAGTGTGACGACCTCGTACAAGAAATTCGGTACCAATATTGGGTTTATCATAAATCTAGGAAATGAGTCAGATTCTAAGAAGGTTCTTCAATTTCCATATAATTGAAGACATGTCTAGGAATGGAGAAGACGAAGATATCGATTATTTTTGTGCTATAACGGTGATAATGAAAATATATGTGGTTTGTTTACGAGATTTTTTTTGGGAAATGGTAATTTGCTTATAAAACTGCATCGTAAATAATAAAATTTAATAAACACTTTCAAATATTAATTTATTTTTGTTTAACTAGGAAATAGAGAAATATTATTTTAATAGAGACAGGCGGTATTTTATATAAATACTGCTATTACATTAAGATAGATTCTAACATGTTATCCTGAGATTTATCTGTCCTTAAATACCTCATGTGCGTGTTGCCAATCGCGCCCTCTCTAGCATATCCGCGCACACTTGAGTACCTCTGGATTTCAACCTGCCTTCATAATTCTTTAATTTGTTAATTGCCTATTATTTAATAATATCGACTTTTTTACTGTTTTAGTCGGTAGTAATTTTTTTTTAAGATGTCAATTACTTACGGCGTCTAATATTACTACTGTTCGTATTTAACAAACTATAGAAACTTCTGAAATATTTAAAAACAATTGTAAAAATTAAATCCGTTATACTATGTAGTCTTTTTAATTTTGCAATAAAAAACTGGACTTGTTTCTAACATTTATTCAGACATTTTTAAAACTAAACATAATTCTAAAATTGTTAACAAATAACACCATCTGCGTTAACTAACTAAACTAACATTCTTTAGCTGATCAACAGAAAATAAATGCCGTTATTCTCATTATTCCATAGTTTCAAATTAATCAGTCTGTAAAAACAAAAATCATGGCAGCAAATGAATTTTTTTATCATCAAAGTATGGAGTCCTGTCTGTTAAGTTTGAAAAACAGAAAAGCAAAAATAATTTGAAATTTACTATTTTATTTTAGCCTGTATGCAAATAAGTTGTGACATTTGCAACCTAACTCCTTGGTCATAAACTAAATAATTAGAAGGTCAGCGCCATCTGTGCGCGGTGTCTGAAGGCTGTTACTGTTTGCCGATAGTGAACTTTGAGATGGACTCCAATAGATTTATATATGCTGTGTGCTCATATGCGGTGCTGAAGTCTGACAGTTTCTGGACGAAGTCGTTGCTGATGCCTTTCTCTTCAAGCAAGTTCATCAGTAGATCATACAAGTACTGAAACAATAAGTCTGTATAAGGGCACAATGCTTCATAAAACAAAACTTTTTTTATATCATACAAGGTTGATGACTTTACAAACAACAGACCATAAGATTTCGAACTCTACTTGTAATGTAATAAGGTTTAACTATGTTAGAGTTATTTGTCAATTTTATTTGTATAACAGTATGTATATATTGTAATACTATGGTATAGATTAATGTTGCTTTTTCTGTACATTTTTACAGATAAAATAAGGTTAACATTAAAATATTCATTATAATTTTAATAATTAAATAAAAGAGATAAAAAATTTAAATACATCTCTCCAAATTTACAAAAATCGCGGCGATTCTTAAAATTCCGTAAATTAGGTAGAATTTAATAATTTTAGAAATACTTAAATAAAGTCTATTTGTATGTCGTTATGTACTTGGTTGATTTGAACATTAAAAAAATGTAGCATTTCCTTGAATATTTCCGATACAGTAAACCAGGAAATCAACTTCAACTTATTGCATTAATATTCCCCATTTTTGGCACCTGACAACTACATGTGCTATAGAATCAAGTGTGGCATAGAAAAGGGGTTGTTTGACGCGACCTGCACCCGGACTCGAACCGAGGACCTCCAGAGTTAAAGTGAACACATAACACTTTCGGCTACCGGCTTCAGGCATAAACGGACGAAAATATCAATACCTTATCCCATTTTTTTTACGACATTGATGTTCATAATGGTGAGTTTCAGATAATGTAAAACTTTAACTCACCACTCTGAAAGTTCGAATGTCTACTACTGTATAAAGTACTCAACGCGAAAGTAAACTCTGCATAGAAACTAAAACTTGATATATAAAAAATAAATATTTTTTTTTATAAGGAGAATCGGTCGGTCGATATTTAGTCTACACAAAACTCCGCCATTCGGATTTATTTTCATAGCACGATTTTAATTTGCGGACTAAAGGCAAAGCTAAATTTTTAAAAAAATAAATAATCACAATATAATAATAAATAGCTAAAGCACACAAACATGCCATCTCTTAAATAAATATTGCACTATCATAGTATAAAACAAAGTCGCTTTCTCTGTCCCTTTTGATGCGGTTTGTTTTTATAGATAGGGTGATTCAAAAGGAAGGTTTTTATGTATAATACAGGATTACGGGGCGGAAAGCTAGTAAACATAAACTGAAATAGAACAAATCATATCTGTCTTATTAGACTGACGGTCATAAATGGGTCTTTACAAATAAATGCTATTATTGTAGAAGAGGGAATACCGACCCCATCGAGCACGTCGCCTGCGACTGCATACACTTTATCATTCCATTCCCCTTTGTAGATCGTCACCTCGTCGATACCGAAGATATCATCTGAAACAGGAACATGTTACTGGTGCAATTTTTAATTATTTCTATTAAGAAGCCCAACCTCTAGTACAAATCCCCATTGAGTGTCATAATAGGCCCTTTGATATGTCCCATACTATGGTTAGCAAACATATGTTATTTTCTAATATTCATCCTTTTTTGGGTATAAAACCATTGCAATTTCATATTATATCACAATATTAGGTTCGTTCAGTATAAACAACCTCCAGTATAATACATAGTGTGACTATAAGTAACATTAATAGACACCTTTCATCTCTGAAGTTGGTTGATTAAAAAAGAGGTTAATAACATGTCAACAATTGTTTTTTTCTTCAATGAGTAAAATACGTACTAAATTCGTCGCCAGTGGCGGGCGGTGGTTCTTGCAGGAACGAACAGGTGAAGCCAAGTGTGGTGTCTCCACGGACCAGGTCCACCTCAAATTGTGGTCGGGAACGCATCTCTGCAAACTCCTGCTTCTCCGGCTGCACTTCACCCTCACCAAAATCTTCTGAATCTACTGTATGGTTCACGTTAAATGTGATCCTTACTCTGTTTTGAAAGAAAGTTTATTTTCAAATAAGAACAAACTAAAAAAAAGAATTGTTACTCATACAACATGACTATTTTGGACTCAAGTAAAACAGTAACAAAGACATTAAACTTGTTTAAATCTCTTTCTGCCTGTTGCACAAACTTGCATTAAAATTGTCATTCGTTTGAAACAACAATACGAATACCAATTTAAAACATTCATTAGAGCTTAAACATTTAAAAAAAAATCAGTTGTGTTCAATATGCTATTAAAGATAATCACACTTTTATGCTAATTGTATGTATAATATTGCTTAAACCAATTATGACAGAACAAATATTTTATGCTCATTGTTACGTGACCCCCAACAGCATGTGACGTCAGACCCTTCTTACACATATCTGAACTTAGAGAATTCAACCTTATGCATACATACAAATCTCCCGCTGTAGATGACGTAGCTCTCGAGTTTCACAAGTGCTTGTTTATTCAGTGCCTAGACTGAATAAATAATTTTGATTTTGATTTTTGACTACAGTATTCATTTCAGCATGCGATGGCATTTACATGGGTTTTTTTTTTAAATACATTTTATGTACATATTAGTACTTAGAACAAAAAACAACAAAACTATTTCATTCCACAATTAATAGCGGAATTAATATATTTGTGTACTTAGTACTTATTATTTGTGGTATAAACCACACTTTAGTACCAGCAAAACTGAAATGGCTAAAATGACATACTTAAAACATAAATAATTATAAATCTTCAAACACAAAATAATGTAATACAAATTTTGATATTAATTAGTTGTCTGTCCCATAACTTTATGCAAAAGCAAGGCAACGGCCGAGCCTTTGGATGTGAGTATGGTAACAATATACCCTGTATGTGGAGCTAACTCCTCAGTAATTGAAGAAGCATGTGCAGTATACACGCAGGGAATGTTTTAAATGAATGTAACTGAATATCAATTAACAAATGTAGATTTGACTTTTTTTCCACACATGGTAAAGATTTATCAAAACTACTCACACTTCATCTTTCAGCTGCTTGCTGAGTACCACCTCAGCACCATCTCCTGCAACTTTAAATCCATCCACCTCACTGGGAAGTGTCTTTGTTTTCTGTGCCTTGCGCTCTGCCACAATTTCTTCGGTGAGGAATTCAACCAGTTCTCTTTCACCTATAATTGAAATATATCAAGAAGTACTTTCTGCAATATAAATAGTATGTATCATAGTTTATACTTAAACCTATTAATTGTAGTAAATCTGTAACATGCCTAAACATAGTAGTGGCAAAGGCCAACTCCCAATTTATTAATTTACCCCATAATTGGCACTAACAATCTTCTCTTTTATAAAAATTGTAGTGTGGCAGATTATACGGGGCCCTACAATTAAATAGAAAAATGAAAGTTTAATAAGTTAAATGATGGTGGAAATGATGGAGACAAGGAAATGGGAAGGAAAAGGAAAACGGAACTCACCAATATCTTTGGATTTGGCAGGAGAATCAGTGCCTTTATCTGCTATAAACAAAGTACAACATAAGTAAAGCTAAGAAACAGATTAAATGCACGGTGTAGTCTTATAACCTCAAAGTGGTAGTAAGGTTATTTAAAATCTGACCTTTTGTGTGGAGTGCTTTCAGACCGCAGCCACAACTGCATGTGTTGGAATGATTGTGGAGAAGTGTAGACGCTACAGGGGTCCCATCTAAACGTTTCGAGCAGCTCATGTGCCATATTCCTCTTGTGAAATCACGCTTCACGGGAGCTTGAGTTCGAGACGCCAAAGCCCCGGTCAAACATGTACTTTTCGCATAACTTTGTATAACTCTATGTGCAGTTTTCACTAAACCGTTCATTTTTTATAAGGACGCCTTTTCGATAGAGTTAAAAATTTATCGAAAAATTCAGAAAACGTCAATCAATTAAAACGTACGCCGGGAAAGGTAAAAAGAAGTTTGAAGCTAAAGCAAGTGTAGTTTTCCTTAAATATTATACTACTCTTTGGTACATACCAATATCGATATATCAAAAACGAAAAATATCGATATCGTAGAAAAGTTGATATCGAAAACGAAAAATCATAATATAAAACGAAATACTAAGAATAAATGTGTGTCAGTTATCAGGTGTCCAAAATTTAACAATCTCAGTTAGTCTGAAGTAGCGATGGACGTTATTCGCGATAGACAGTTATTCAACTAGTGATCTGACTGAACCGCGATCACTCGTGATTCAGTTATACAATAACTATCTATTTTCCATAACGTTCTAAAATTAAACCAAATTCACTCGTATGTCAACAGCATAAAGTCGATATTTGATTTGACGATCACCAAGAAGTAGCGATCACAGGTTTACAATAACTGTCTATTATCCAAACGTTCTAAGGTTAGACCGAATTCACTCTTATGTAAACGATATTACGTTGATTGTCGGTTACCTCGCTTCAAGGTAGCATCGATCACCAAGAAGCAGCGATCACAGATCGCAGCGATACGTAGACATCTTTATATATTAACGCTGTACATTGACGGTCATGTAGTACAATTTTTATAACGGTATAGAATGTAACGCGTAATGTAGAGCGTTTAAATAATGTGGATCGCAATCAATCCAATCTGTCATGAGTGAATGAAACAAAAATAGGATGTCAGTATACGTGTGAATGAAATAGGTATATGCTAGTTCGCTCACGTTATTCGGGTTTCGGAGTGATCAAGTGACCAACCCAAATTGAGCTTTATCGCGTTAGCATAAGAGTAAAATTCGGTTTGACTTTAGCGTTGTAGAAATAACTAGTTATCAAAAATAGATAGTTTTGATATCGGTGATTGGCGATCTGATAGCGATTGCGTTACGTGATTTGAAAACTGGATAACGACCCATCGCTAGTCTGAAGCCGAGCAGGATGTTTTCACTGCGAGTGCACGAACTGAGTGAACAAGCTTTGGAATATGACGTCATTCATGTCGAGCACGGCCCAGCGGAATCTTGCGTTGCGCGCTCACTTTAAAGTATAATATTTCAAAAACTATTTGACGTGTCAAAATATTTCTTTCACATGTATTTTTTTACTTCTTTTTCTGCTTTCGAATTGGAAGTGCATGTTTCAGCTCTTAGGGAGTGTCTGTTTACCCTCGATTATTTTATATTTGTCCAAGTTAGGGAAAGGTAGGTAGGCGGATGAATAAAGTTCCACCACACCCAATTCACACCACATTCAATACTTTGTTTGTTAAACTGTTTAAAATATGTTCACTCGGAAAGTATTTTGTTTGATATATATAATAAAAATAATAGGTGTATAAAACACTTACTTTATTGATTACGAAATTGTCTAGTTAATAAATAACTGATAGAAAAATCAGAATCTTTGAACGTTTTAAATTCAAAAATAATATAATTAGGTATTAAGTAGAAGTAGTATCATGAGGTATACCTTGTTTCATTTAAAGTGGCGAATAATGTAAGCAAACAATTTACCGAAACTGTTTATGGAGTTTTCATAATGATCAAACGACGAAATGCAACCGAAAACTACTTGGTTCCAAAAGTATTTGGTTTTGGAAGAAAAGTATCGAATAAGTACTTATGTAGTATTCTATGCTTATGCCTCACTGAAAAATGACAATTGTCTGTCAATGTCAAATTGTCAATCGTATTTCGCATATCTCACACGTGCGCCGATTTTGTGTGTGCTTCGAAAGTCAGATTTTATACATCACACTATTCTCATTTTTTAAAATGGTTAAAAAACGAAAGTTTATTGAAACAAAACCTCAAGAACTTCAAAAACCTTGTCCGGTGGAGGTTGTGCTAGAGGATTTGACAGCTCACCCCCTTTGTCTTCATGGCCCAACTTTGTTGTTTTCTAGTGTAAAAGGCAAGTATTATTCCTGTTCTTTATGCCGGAACAAAAAGGACTGCACTTTGAATATAGACGAGGAAGACTGGAAAAAGGAAAATGTAAGGAAACGAAATGAAAAGTACTACAATCTTATTCCAAAACTCGATAAGGAGGCTGCATGGAGTAACTTTAAAGAGGTTAGTTTTTGAATTACTATTTGAAGAGATTTTAATGTTGTTTATTATATTTGTTTCTTTCCACTTATACTCTACAAAACATATATATTACTCTGCATAACATAGACTACAACACTTTAACTTGATCAAAACCTAAATGTTTCCATTGATTTAAAATTTTATCAATATTTCAGGTAAAATCACAACATTCCTCTAACCGCGCATATTGTAATACATGTCAAGAGCTCTATATACTATCACAAAGCAAGAAACATCTGAAGGACCATAGGGTGATCACACCATTAACTGATGATCAATTAGTTAATCCATCTTCATGGTTGCCAGCTTTGAATGATGACACTGTTGAAGCACAGTATCTGTTTACTAAGAAATCTGTTAGCACTGTGTTGGGTATACTCAAAAACAACAATATCAGGTATTTTATTATTATTATTTTGGAAAAACTATGTAAGTTTAAAGTAATTGCCAATCCAGTCAAATTCTAAGGTTTAAGAACTTGTGTTAAGGAAATCTACTATTTCTATATACACATATATATATATCCAGTGACATATTAGGTGACATACATGTGAAACTGGTGTTTGGTATGGGAGCAACAAAAAGTAATTTTTTTTTAAATATTATATATTCATTTAATCAAACTTTCTTTCTGCAGAGCAGTCAAATCATGAGGCACCATTCTTTGTTTTTTATTTTATTTAACTGATTTGACGCAAATGAGCCAATATTGAGGGCAAGGTAACGTTAAACCATGCCGCTAATTCCTGGGTAGTTTGACTAGGATCAGGTTCCACCATCTCTCTTAATTCATTGTTATTCACCTGTGTGGGCGGTCTTCCTCGTGGCTCATTCTTCAAGTCGAAGTTTCCATCATGAAAGCGTTTAAACCTAAATCGCACGGTGCGTTCATTAGCAGACCCCTCTTCAAACGTAACATTGATATCGCGGGCTGTTTCTGCCGCGTTACTTTCGCGTCGGAACTCATATTAAAAAATCACTTGAATTTTCGCAGTGTCCATCTTTCTTGTCTAAGTTGAATAACAAAAAACAATTGAAAGTCGAGATTCAAAAGTTTCACATTTAAAAAAAAAGAACATCATAGAAACCATGTCAATAAAGTTTCTTTCGAAAACCTCGAAGATTCCTTCGGCAATTTCATAGTTTAACCCTTAATACTTATATTACTACAAGTAATCAAAAATAAACACGAGTTTTCAAACTTAATCCATAATATACATACTTGTAAGTGTAATGTTTAAATTAATCCATTTGATTTCAGAAATATCTTGTGCATTGGTACACCAAGTGTACATGAAGCTGCCCAAGCCAGTCCAGACTTTGATTCATTGTTACTAGATTATGATAAGCGCCATTCACTGTTCAATCCTCCATATAAATTCTTGTGGTACAATATGTTCAATGATTACCTCTTCAATGGGAATACTGATGAGAAAGTTTTGAAGAAATTCTTCAAAAACTCCAGGTTGGATTGAATTTTTGATAAAATTGCATAATATAAGATTAAACGGCACAGTTTTGAACAAGAAGAACTTTAATTATTGACCTTTCCGCCTACTAACAATTTTCTGTTCTGCAACTGTATATATAGCTTAAATTTTAATGATATTTCACTCTGTTTTTGTTGATAACATAAAACCTAATTCATTGTTGTTATGCTATACCCTTACAGAGTTGCAAAACAATAAGGAATTAGGGATGCTGCTGTACTGTGAGACTACTTTACTGGATAATTATATTTTCAGAGATGGAGGTCTTTGTGTTGTCATGGATCCTCCGTTTGGTGGCAGAGTTGAACCTCTGGTATTCACACTAAAGGAATTGTCAAAATTATACAGAAAAACATTTGATAAGAGTGATGAAGAAATTATTCCGGTCATTTGGGCATTCCCATATTTTTCAGAACCTTATATAAAGAATTTGATGCCTGAAATTAAAATGCATGACTATCAGGTACAATAAAATAGTTTATCATTCATTAGACCAGTGGCAGTCGCCCTTGTTAATTGTAGCCTGTCTCATCTGTATATTATGTAGATGGATTTAAAAAAAGGGGTCCCGTTGTTTCCAGGCCTATTCCTATCAAATCTTTTTATAATAGGGATGATGACTAATTCTTAATCATAAAATTACGGCGTTACATGGAGTTGAAATTTCGCATGACGTCACGTTAGGGTACATTTTCTGCTCAACTGTGACGTAGCGAGCCCCCACTCCTCAACTTTAATGCCTGTTATCTAAGCTATATCTTGTTAAATTGAAGTAAAAAAAAAAATACGTATCTAATATTTTTCTATTATCTGACTGAGGGACTAAATAGAATTACATTTTTATTACCCAGTCATTATCCCTATACTCCAGGCCAGGCCTCTTAAATCTTGTTCAGCATATATAAAATTGTTAATAGAATAGGTGATTTACCCCCACATAATTATATTACCCCTTAGGTAATGAACCACGGTATGCATCAGACATTAAAAATTATCTAAAAAAATGTAATTACAAAATTTTTATTTTAATTACAGGTGGAATATGAAAACCATAAAAAGTTCCAGAATAAATCAAAAAGCGGTCGTAAATTTGGTTCTCCCGTCCGATTTTTCACAAACCTTCCATTGCTCACAATTGATCTTTCAAATGATACGAAATATAAGCTTTGTGATAAATGCAAATATTGGGTCTCTGTGAGTAACAACCATTGTAATAAATGTAAAGAGTGCACCAGCAAGAATGGCATGACATACAAACACTGCAATATTTGTAAGCGGTGTGTGAAACCAACGTTCTTCCATTGTAAGGAGTGTGGACGTTGTTGCCAAGAAAAGGGTCATGTGTGCGGAATTGTGGTTGAAAGTCAGGTGAGACAAAACATTTGATTTAATAGTATTGGTTGGTTTAAGTCTCACGTTTTAATTTAAATCTTTGCATTGTTTACATTTCAGTCATGCTACAACTGCCAAGCTAAAGGACACAAGCAATCGCAATGTCCACAATTACAAGGAAGTAAAAAGAAAAAGAAGCGTGTTCATGCATGATCATTATTTATTTACAAGATAATATAATTATTATAGAAAACTTCTTGTCATTTATTACTTATACTATTTTTTAATGAAATTACATAATATTTTATTCTTGATTCATCTCATAGTTGTAATCACACAAAAGTTTAAGAAATGAGAGTAAAATAATAATATAAAATGTAAGTATACATAAAAGATATATCAAATCAGCTTGAATGTTGTCCTTGTTGACGAGTCTTGAGTAGGAAGGCAGAAGTCTCACTAAAGAGCACTGTAAAGGAGTAAAATCGTGTTTATTCAATACTATACATTATACTTATAACCGAAAATAGTGAGACTTGATGTTTTTTTTTTCTTAAAAATTTGTAATTCACATTTTGGCTGTCAAACATAACATATTATTCAATTTATTTGCACAACACCAGTAGAAAGTTATTAACTTTTGTTGGACGTGCGCTCAAAATTATTCAGTGACATAAATGACACAAAAAGATATCACCAGCACCAGATCAAGCGGCACGGCTCCCTGAATCTGCTCTCGGTCAACCAAAAGTAGGATATGGATAAGGGCACTCACTTGACGTTGATCTTGTTGAGTGATTGCTGCGTGTGGTGGTAGCGCGCCTCCACGAGTTGCGCCTGGTCGAGCCACGCCTGCCTCACGTCCGCCCACCGCCGCGCGTGCGCACGCAGCAGCTGCTCGCGACTCGGAACCTCATCGCGCTACAATAACCATAAAGCCGAATTTACACTACTAAATTATTCGCATGAAACTAAGAGATAAGTTTTAGGAAACTAATTATGTGAAACTACTGTGCTAAGGGGGGCGTTCAAGTATTATGTAATGCAGTTGGGGGGAGTGGGCTCTTGTAAAACGTTATGATTCGTTACAGGGATGGGAGGCCCCCCTCGTACAAAGTTTTACGCGAAATTGGTTTTTATAATTTAATACAAAAATAGGGAATTAAGATCTCCCAAAGTAGGTAAAGAATGTTGCTAAAGTTAGTATTATGATGTGATTTCATAGTGTAATGTCCTCAAAAGAGAGATTTGCATCACCACCTGGCATTTAAAAACTCATGCTGATGTGCCAATAAATGCCAACCAACTTTTCACTGGTGGCTAACCATTAGGTTTGGTCACATATGTATTATGTAACGTTTATGGAGGGGGGGAGGTCGGTAAAAAGTTGGGTTACGTAATACTTGAATGCCAATTAATAGTATCACTTGAGACATGGGATCGGGCTACGTCAACATCTAAGCTTTATTATACACAGATGGTGTCGTAACACTATGTAGTTTCGCAATTTAAATTGGGGTGAAATTGTTGCGTGCAACTAATGTGCATGCATTGCGAAAGTGGACGTTAACATGTCCAACAATAATTAGTGAAAAAACAAATGTCTTAAAAATTAATTTTATTTTTAGATTTTAACTGATATGAATTTTGATGTACAGAGATTGCAATTTAAAAAAAATCAAAGTCACTTACATAGTTTAAATTGATATTATCCTTGTTTGCTGCTTTCTGTTCTGGTAGTAACTCTGGTATCCTGCTCACCGGTGGCCCTTCAGGTCCAGGTAATTCTACACTATCTTCTGTTAGTTCTGGCTCGTCATATGATTGGCTGTAAAGTATAATTACTATAAAAATGTTGTTTTTTGTTACACATACACATAGTACTTTAATTTAAAAAAGCTGTCAAAATATTTAGTAATAAAATTTTGGCTATGGTAACCTAATAATTAAGACTGAAATTTGACTAAATAAAAATTTAAATATCATCTTTACCCATGACATTAATGCCACCTATATGCTCATAGTTACTACTGACTGAATTCATATTCAAGCAGAACAAAAAAATCTGTACCCGTATTCTTTGTAGTTCATTTTTGGTTGATTTATCATCCACGCTCTGCATATGGGGTATAATGGAGAGGATTCATCAAATTGTGACAAATCTACACTCCTGTCAAACAACTTCAACACATAGGACTGACGCGGTGGTGACTTCCTCCTCTCTTCTCTTTCTTCTCCATCAGACTCTCTGTGTTCTTCATAATTGTATCTTTTAAAATAAAATTGATCATTACAATTATTGAGTGATAAAAAAAAAATTATTTGCTGCACAAATATTCATTCAATAATTTTGTTCAGTAATGAGATCTTAATTACATATTTACATTCTTACATCTGATTAATTTTTTTCTCTTCAGTAAGCCATAAACTTTAATGAAATGCACTAACTTCTATTCATGTTCATATCCCCATTTATTGTAAACATTTTGGTTAACAACAAAGTTGTAGCAATATGTTATTGAGATGCTGGCAACAATCTGTGTTACAGAATTAATTATTGCATGTTGAAACAATTTTAGTCAACAAGTAGACACAATATGGAGCAATGGTCGCTCAACAAATGTTTACCATGAATATTCTAGTCTCTGCAAAAGTTTTAAAACTATAAACAATTTGGTTTATTACCTGTCCTTTTTGTTAGGGCTTTGTTCTACAGAAGTGTCAGACTCCTCCCCTGTTGGTTCCAGAACATCCATAAGGGCACCTTTAAGGCGGCCTCTGGCAGCTGAAACCTCTTTCTCTGGCACATTGCTAACTACAAGTATGCATATAACATTATCGATATTATACTAGAAGTTTAAGAGAGATCTCAGGTATTGAGCGAGACACTAATTAAATGAATATTAAATAAGTATAAATTTGTCTTAAAAATATTTCCAATTTGACTATCTATTGCAGTGCTTATCTATTGCAAAAGTAAAATGGAAGAATAATAATTTTGAGTATGAGCCAATTACGGGAATTACCTTTAAAATCTTCTTTTTGTGTATTTTGTTTAGATTTACTTTTCAATGGAGTCCATAGTCTTTTTCGTTTCGGCATGATGATTAAGATATTGCCCTTCTTCTCAAAAAGTGCCTTTGTTCCTTGTGTTTGACCACAAAAACAGAAAAACTAAATTGAGATTTTAGTGGTAATGTGGTAGGTAAATGTAAACAAAATGATTAAGATAAACATTGGATTCCTCTATTACCTCATATTACCAGTACAACATTATTAAATAAAAAAAAACGCAGTTAATCAGCAGATATAATATAGGTATATATTTGGAAATTCAGGCCTTAGTTTCAACTAATATTATTAGAAAAGATTAATTAAACCAGACAATTTTTTTTTTAGTCCAATTCCCGTTAACAGACTATATAGCCACAAGTATGGGAAAGCTAAGTAATGATGTGCGGAATCGAATACCATTAATCGAAAAATCGATTTTAAAATAATCAATTACTATAGATTATGAATGCCTATTATTTCTTAAAATTTTAGCAATAGGAATACTTTAAAACGTTTGTATAGGACCTACTTACTTTACTTCGATGGCTCAGCTACCCTTAGCGGAACGCAAGTGTGAATATTATTAGTAGATTCTATTACTTATTATGGGAACCCTGGAATACTCACACGATCAAAAAGGTTACTTTACTCTTTGGTTGAGGAACTCCCGATGAATGAGAATGAATGAACGGATCTTACAGATTTATTTTAACAAATACAAATTAACCGTTTCTTCCTAATTGCACATGTATGTACAGTCTGTCTATAAAGTGATGAAAAAAATTGAGGGCGCTGCGATCGTGCACGTAGCAACCCTGTGTAGTGAGACAAATGATTTTGATAGTAGGATTTTCTTTATTTATAGTAAAATAAACTGGATATTTTTTTTTTACCTTTATTATTTACCCAAGAAAAGGTAAAGAAAGGCGTATAATTCGTAGACAATGAGTTTATTCTACATTGAAGATTACAATATAGTAATCGTAATTTTTGTTCGATTAAAGCCTGTTACTTTGACACTCCTTGTAAGAAAAGCCAATCTATTTCAGAATTTAACGCAGGACTTCTAGGCTACAATTAAAATCCAGATCGGTTTTGGCAATCCACTGATGTTTTCTTCATGTAGGTACCTCTTTTTTTCATAGAGTAAAAGAACTGAATCTTTTGTCGAAGTGCACAAATGTTGCAGTTACCCATTTATTTCTTAGGACGACTATCTATGTTTCCCAGGGGTTTCAAATATGCCACCATTTTTATAGCCTTCATCTATAATACGTATCACTATATTCTCTGATTTTCCTGAAAGTAAGTTTTAAAAATGTAATACCTATAGGTATTTGGCAAAAAGAATGGAATCGCCACAATGATCAAATTAATGCTATAATTTCAGTAATATAAAGCACAAACTTTTTATTGGCAAAATCGTACATTACTAACAGGTATATTTTTTATTCAGATTAAAATCAATGATAAATTTGATTATCCAAAAGTATTGAAAGTTCGGGCCCAAAAGTATTAAACATTCTTTTCATGACTTTATAGACAGACTGTTTACACGGTAAAAACCTATACTAAAAATATATTTTTTGTCTGTCTGTTTGTTCCAGCTAATCACTAAAACGATTTTGACGGGACTTTAACTGGCAGATAGCTTAAAGGCTTCGTTCCATGCGGACGAAATCGCGGAGACAGCTACTTAATTATATAAATTTTGCATTCACAATGCTGGTATGGTACACATTGCCTTAAAATGGATTTCTAAGAATTGTTCATTACTTGGATGACTTTAAAATACGATGGAATTTATCTGAAATCACTAATAAACTTTGTGCGTAAAAATATTTAATAATCATTGATATGAATCGATTGTTAATCGATAATGAGAAATACTGTAATCGATTAATATATGTGTATAACAATGAGGAAGTATTTAAAAAAAAGAAAGCACTAAAAATGCACCTCCACTAGATGATAACTCTAGCAAAAGTTGATTTTGGTGGAAACGAATGGACCAAAGACAGTTATTTAATTTTAATTTGCAAGTAACGTTTCTTACATACAAACTTTATACATCACATAAAACATTGTTTAAATACACTTCTTTCCAACTTTTTTTGTATATTATTTGAGTCCAACAATTTCTATGTCTAAAATCTTGACGTTTTGGTGCCAAACAAGCCTGGTGCCAAACAAAAAAAACCGGCCACATCGATAAGGACAACAAATAATGTTTTTATCTCACTTTAACTAATGAAAATTGTAATAAGTCATTTTATTTCCCGATGAATGAGATAGAACATACCATTAGAATAGAATGGAATCCATTTATTTTGACAACACACATCACGTACACAATATACAACTTAAAAAAAAAAGAAAAATAATAATACTAATAATAAAATAAAATAAACATGAACAAAAGAACAGAAAAAACAATACAATACTCTAGTCTATTGCCTTCTCTGTCTACTTTGAATCGGCACATCATTAAGGCAAAGGGTATTAAGACAATATAGCCTTGTCATAACCAAAGACTACAGTTTATATACCTATAGTATCCACTTTATATCCATTTTTTTAAATCTTACATAGAAACCTTGTCATGAATCGTGGAACACATAAAAAATGGAATCATCCAATTTGGTGCAGTCGGAACTGAAACTCGGAAGTTACATACCTTTCGGCGATTCATTTTTATTCATCAATATTTAATTTATCTCCCTGATTTTTTTTTTATCTACAATTCATGCATAATGTATCTAACTTATTTATTTGAATAAGAATTTATACTGTATTGTTAAAAATAGGTTCATAAATAACCTATCATTTTACTGTTTTAAGTTAACGCTTTAGAATAATTATTTTGGGTTATCTTTGAAAGATATACATATACCACAGCGGTCTTTTTTGTATACCTATAAAGAGGTACAATTCCCCCATTCATTGTTTTGTTATAACTCAAAAGTTATTGGCAGCGTTTTCGAGGAAAATTCTCGATCGGCTTTATTTTTTCCGACATATTGAACTAATATCGTCAGTTTGTACAAAACCTTAACTTACTATACAATCAAACCTTCCACAAGAATTGCTCTATCTATTGTTAAAAACCGCATGAAAGTCGGTCCAGAACCTTTTGAGTTTTGTCGTGAACAGACAGACAGAAGAATCTGTTTTATAATATGAAGTGATTATGTATTAAGTTTAAAATGTAGTGATAAAAATATTGTAGTATTCATAATGGTCGATAAGAAGTCTGAAAAATTGACATGGTGTCTACTGACATGGTCAAACAAGGGGGTGGGGGGCCTATGAGACCCTTTTTGGTTTCTATGCAACCTCTGATGGAAACTTGGTAATGTTCCGATAGGCTGGAAACATTGTGCCATTGCCCAAAAGCATGAGTATGGACTGTGATTACTTACAGGGTCATCAGTTTGGTAGCTTAGCAGACAAAGTGTATGGAAAAATAATTGAAAGGATAATGAGGATGAAATCCGCCTCACCCAATACTTGGTGAGCACCTACTGGTTGAAATCCTGCTCTCTTACGTAAAGGTTCTTCTCGGTATTTACTATTCTCCTTATCTAAATATAAACTACTTTGCTACAACAGGGTACAACAGGACGTAACTACAGGGTGGCAAGTCGGCAAAATGCCACAGGCCGGAAAGGACCTCGGGAAGAGGAGACTCCTTACATTTATTATTACACGATTACTAAAAAAAAGTCCGATGAATTTGCCACGGGCTTCAAACGGTATAGTTACGCTACTGCTCTCTGCCTACCCCGCCAAGGATACGGTGCAAAGATATAGATAGAAATATACTTCTGTTGCAAAATAAAACACAATTAGTAAGTTTAATATCAAAATTACAAATATTTTTTTTAACGATAGAAATACATATATTTTAAAATACCTTAAAAACACTATCAAAAAGAAGTTGCTTATTATGGTCACCCTGTTAGAAAATAATTATATACTATTTTAAATTTAACAATTATTTTCATTGAAAATAAAGCATATTCTCATGAAATATATTAATTGTGTGCTTATAATGTATCAAACAACCATTTAAAATAGTTTTCAGAAAAGTGTCAAATTCCCTATGTTCAGTTATCTGATTAATGAGAAAGTATTAAAAAAAAGAAAGAACTAAAAAAGCACCTCCACTAGATGGCGACTCTAGCAAAAGTTGATTTTTGCCGGAAACGAATGGACCAAAGACAGTCATTTCCGTTACTTTTGACTAACATATTAAAAAAATAAAATTTGAAAAGTTCGAAACTTAGATATCAATACAAATACGAAAAAGTACAAATAGAATATGAGTTGTTTATTAAATTTTGAAAACTAATTTACTTTTAAACATGAAAGAAAACCGGAAGGGTTGTCATGGAGAAATCAAAAGCGTACCGTAGCGACATGTAGTTTCATTTCAGGAACTAATGTTTTTTTTAAATACTTCCTCATTCTGGTAATCCAAATGTCAATCAGTCAGTATTGTCTTTAAAAAAAAATCGACTCTATAATAATCGATTATTTTTCACCTCTCTAGTTAGTCAATCAATCAGCTTTATAACATGTCAAACTACTAGTAGTTAATTTAGGTATAAACGAAAATAGCACAGAAAATAAATTAAGGAGTTTTTACAAACCCTTGTTCAAATACATACAAGTCTTGCTGTAATTGACGAAATAGCTAATAAAAGATTCCATATGTGCAATAATGGCTACAACGGCATATGAACTAGACGCAGATGGTAAGGTTTAAAAAAATATTAAAAGACGCGATATTTTCGTCTGATTGTAGAACCTAAATAAAATTATATTTTATCACGTACATAGTTCCGTAATAAAGGTTTAGTAACGTAAGAGTAGATGTTAATTTAATAGAATATTTCTTTTTTTTTGCGTTCAGCAAAATTACTTTTACGTTTCAGTGAGCACATGAATTGCTAATTATTAAGTTGTTAGCATCATATCTATTTATTAGTCTGACCATTTTCGTCCTAATTATATTGCTTGTAAATTAAATATATCCTACCCCACAAGGCATCCAGTATATAAAATTTAACTATAAATATAATTTCTATATAAAATTTAATTATAACTATAATATCTATTTCAATTTTTAATCCTCTGAAAACGCAGGTTCCAAATTTATTCCTGCTACTCAGAGGCCTGATGGTACGTGGCGAAAGCCAAGACGGGTAAAGGATGGCTACATACCTCAGGAAGAAGTACCTCTTTATGAAAGTAAAGGAAAACAATTCAAAGCTAGACAGAACACAGGTTTACCTGTGGGGCTCACTCCTGAAATAGTTGCTGCTGCACAGAAACCTAAAAAGGGTCAAGTGGGCACCATTCAACCAATACCTGGTATGATTATTAATGTGGACAAAAAGAAGAAGAAGAAGAAGACTGGTAATATAATGTAATAAAATCACTTCATTTTGAAAAGGAAATGATAGCTTGCTAATATCTCTTTTTATAAATTGTTTTAGGAGCCGATGAAGTTACAGAAAAACTAGCAAAGTGTGAAATAACAGAACCAACATTTAGCAGTCCATCTCCATCATCATCAGGCAATAACACACCAGCAGCTAGTCAAGCAGATCCTGCCAAGAGATTGAAGAACTTAAAGAAGAAACTAAGAGACATTGAACAACTTGAAGAAAAAATTAAATCAGGTACATTGAAAAACCCTGATAAGGATCAAAAAGAAAAAATGTCTAAAAAGAGTGACATTATTAAAGAAATAGAATTATTAGAGACTCTAACTAGTTAAATAAGTTAAGTTAAATGAAATGAAGTTTCTTAATTGTGAATGGAATATGAAATCATGTTTTATTGGTTTTAAATAATTGTGTTGTCTTATGTGAGGATGCAGCGACATAAAAGGTTTCATTTAAATATAAATTATTTACAATTAAATTATTATTTTATTGGATAAGGTACACAAAGAAGAAAATATTTGTAATTTTGTATACATGTCCTATTTTATTGAAAAACAAACCATAACATGAACTCTTATAAAGTAGGGAACAAGTTACCTAATAGTTATAATATTAAGATTTAAGTGGAGTTTTTCTTAATTTTCTACTAAAAAAAAAAAACAGTTAAAAAAGGCTTTTTAGGTAAGCTATTAATAATAACTATATTAAAACTTATGCGAATGACATCTTTTCCATGATGATCCAGTTGAAAGATGAAGTTCTGCAACAAAACAATTTATAACGATAACAGTATGCTGGTGTAACCAAATTCCATTAGAAATCAAGGCTAACTGTTACTCACACATGATTGCATTTTATATGAACTCATTTCTCGCTTTCTGCCTCGCGTAGTTGCCCAAACACGCAAGGATTCCTATTACCGCTATTCCGAGACCCAAAACAGTTGCTAAGAAATCACCAAAATCATATCCATGGGTAGCTTCGACGTTGGTTATGCTGAGTAGAGCGAAAACAAAACAAAATATATTAAAATACATTTTGAAGTTCGAACAAAGAATAGTACAATTAAATAATGGTCGATTTCGACCACGATCACGGTGTTTGTTGTTTTTTAACGTTTTCTTTCATTCAGACATATTGACATGACACGTAGTTTTTTATAGTTGTTTTTGTATCTATGAGGTAAATGGATCCAGCTTATACAGCCATCGTGCTTGAAACATACCTTAATCAATTACTCTTTAAAAAAACCGATACTGTTTTTAAAATAGCAGTATCTTTTCTTAATTTTTACATTATAGTTATATTTGTAAAGGAAAGGAGAAAATTAGAGATAATTATTATTTATTTGGTAATGATGACATGATTTATGTAAATGTCATTACTTATGATAAAAAGCTGGTAAGTTTCTTTCGCTTGTTCTTCTTGTCAGCTAAAAGACGTCCTGAACAAGTGGTAGGGGAAAAAAAATTTTTTTTTGGACGATTCAAAAGTGCTTGTAATAGCCTACTTGAATAAAGATATTTTCATTTCATTTCATTTAATTTATAGTAGTAGTGATGCGAAAATAAAAATTTTCAATAATTTTACACAAACACTTTAGTCTGAATAGATCACGAATATAAAATAAAAAAATACAATAACTACCTGACAAACACAATTCTTCCTCAAAGAAAAATCACAAAAAGAATTTTTCAATAATGAGGAAGTAATTAAAAATAAAAGTTAGTTCTTGAAATCATACAAGATATCACTCTCGATGTTTGGATATTGTCTATGACATTCATTCAAATTTTAATACCGACGTAATAAAAGTAAATTTAGTATCTAAAATTAACAAATATGACATTGTTTCATGTTTCTTATAATATCTAACATTCAAATTAATTTTAATTTATTTGAATCGTAAGTTTAAGTTATTTACAAAAAGCGGAGCTTGTATTTTTATGTATCATTATGCATCCACACATCGAATGATATTAATATAAATATCGAAATCAATTCAGTCTAGGCTGTAACAAGTCGAAAACTATGCCATTGTTTCGTAAAACTACGGGGGGTGACCTTGTACTGAAAAGAACCAGCAAGACACTTAGCAAGGACTGCTTTTTTTTCTCTCTGTTTTATTTCACACAGAGAAGTCTTATTGGAATATAAAAACTAGTATAACTGTTATATATAGTATAGGTACACATATAGATATAACATAAGTAAATACCTACTTATAAAATACAAAGAGAATAGAGTTGTCAGTGTCGTTATGGAGTTACGGATATGAAAATCGAGTTGAAATTCAAATAGTTCGAGTTACGCAAACGCAACTCTTTTAATACGAACTAATCTTTGAATAAATTTATTTTTTATTTATATAAAGGAAAATGGAATCTAATATATTGGAAGTGAGCATAAAGAAGTTTTTTTTTAAGTTATGGAAATCAATGGAATTAATGCTGTGAAATTACTAAAAGTGGCATTTAGCTACGGTATACAATAATATAACCGTGAAATAAATTTTATAAATAAAATACTAATGTTAGTAGTAGGTTTAGGAATTTTTTATTATAATATTTAATAAAAATTTTGAAAACAATTACAACTAGATAAGTTAGTTTTGTTGCTGTTAGTTATTTGTTGAACTTATAGCAACAAAACTTTATCAAGTATGAAACATAATTTAATATTATGTTTGGTGAATTAATGAATAGGGTTCATTAATCAGCAACAAAGGTCATAAAAACGATAATTACAGTAAAAAATTCGTTTTATATCTATATATTTACCTGATATGTATCAAATACACTAGGTATTCGTACAAAATAACACGACTTCTGGCTAGAATGGCGTTTGTGCAAAGTATAACGTGCAAATAAGTTTTCCTTTCGAAATTAAGAATTAAATAAAACATCTTAATAAAAATTCAGCAATCAACAAGAAACGTCCGTTCCAGACGAACAGCAACTTTTAAACTTTAACTTTCAAAATCACAAAGACACGTAGGTACACTTATTATACTATTTTGTTATGAATATTGCATATTGATTAGTCAATGAGTATTTAAGATTTCTGATATTATAATATAATGGAAAGTGACTTCATAGTCAGCAACAAAACTAATTAAGTCACATTCCAATTAGACTTCTCTGTGTGAAATAAAACGGAAAAAAACAGCCCTTGCTGAGTTTCTTATCTCAGTATAAGATCTCTCGCCTTAGTTTTGCGAACCGTTGGCAGAGTTTTCGACTTTCACAAGTGCTGTGTAACAGCCTAGACTGAATTAATTTTGATATTTATATTAATATAATTCGACGTGTGGATGCACAAAGGCACATTGGGAAATAAATAAGCTGAATTTAGCGCTCCGCTTTTTGTTCTTGATTCCAAACCTGAATTCGGATTAATCGAGTCAATTGAAGTTACGAGTAACCAATAATTTGGCTCATCGCTAACGTTAACATATAAACCAAACATCGGTTCCTTTACACGTAACATAAAATAGATGTCACTAGCAATTAAACTAGATGTCACTAGCAATGTTTGGATCTTGTCTATGATAATCATTCAAATTTTATTTCTGACGTTATAAAAGTAAATTGAGTATCGAAAAACTAATAAATACGACATTTTTTCGTGCTTTTTATAATATCTAATTGTCAAATTAATTTTATTTTACCTGAGTTGTAAGTTTAAGTTTTATGTTGCGTGTAAACTGGAAGGGTTGCCAACCCTTCCAGTTTTCTCTCATGTTTAAAACATCAAGTTAAACATTTAAAACATGAACATGTTTTAAATGTTTAACTTCCCCCGCTTCTCGTCACAGTTCTCAGAAGGAGAACAATGTTGAAGGGCCTGCGAGTAGAGGGAGCCGCTCCGGGCTACTCCACCCCGCGCCGCGCGATACCGCACGCGGTCGCCGAGACCAGGGGACCGGCAATACCCTCCTCACTTGGGGACGGCAGCTCTTACTGCCCATCCAGTGTCCAACCGGTATCTTCGCCGCTGCGAAGACCGCACAATTTGACACCCTCTCGCAGGTGGCAGCTTTGTGGTCAGCTCGACCACACCTGAAGCACAATCCATCTCGATCCTCCTCGGCTGGACAGTTCACCCTCACGTGTCCCAGTCCCATGCACTTATAGCAGCGCATGGGAAGTGATGGGAGGGCTCTAATCCTTACTTTCCCCCAGTCCACCGTGACTTTCCTCTTGGCCGATTCTACCGGGACCTTTAGATGGACGACTCCCAGTCCACCGAAGCCGGCCTGAATCGGGCCAATTATATTGCGATCGGGAGAGCATCCTCCCTCCTCCGCAATCGTAGCTCGTATGTCCTCCTCCTTAGTAGCGTCATCCAGCCTCGTCATCCGCATGTCAGTGCGTTTGGTGGGACGCGTGACGACGATATCCCCGCCCATTACTTCCTGGAACTTGGCCGCTAGCTGTTCCACTTTCGGCCCGTTAGTTTTAAGATTGTCTAAATAAAATGTCGAGAAAAGGTAATAGTATTGTGGTCTTGTATTATACATAAAAACCTTTCTTTTGATCACCCTATCTATGAACAAAAATACCGCATCAAAGTCAGTTTTTAAAAAAAGCGTTTAAGCAATAAGCAGTTTTTAAAAACGCTTATTAAAAATGGTACAAAGAATCAACACTTATAAATTTTAAGCAGTGTTTTCCACCTCTAGAAGTATTATACTTAGGGGATGAGCGTTGTGTTACTAACTATTTTTTAATGAGGATGAGTGAGGACCTCATTTTTTCTCGTGAGGGGCTCGTGAGTTACCACTCATTTGAGGTGAGGACAGGTAATACTTCTTCACTGCTACTATAAGCAGTGAAGAAGTACGTAGCGAGGCGCGCGCAACATCGCCGTTTGGTACAAAATGAGGGAGGGAGTCGGTAATGCTAAAGAAAATATATTTTGTCTTTAGATTCTAAAAAATAAACTTTATTAGATTATTTTTTAACAGAATAACCACAACACGCAACTTATTTGCAATAGTGTCAAATGTTCCATTTTTAAAATCGATCAATCATTTATATTTCGAATCATAGAAATATATTTCTAAATAAAACCGATACATTTTTATTAACCTTGATTTTTTTACTTAGACTTATTAATATCGTTTATTTATAAAATATTAAATACGTATTTCCGAAGAAACACATAAACAAACCTGAATCGTTCCAAAAAACTCTTTAAACTTTACCCATTCCTTCAATATTGAATATACTGAATAAGTATCGAGTCGCCTTTTCATTCGAACCAACTCGCTATTTAGTTCCTCACTCAAAAAGTGAGGAGCTTAATGAGGTGGTTCAAAATTGAAAAACGGGTACTCCCTCATTTTGTCGAAATGAGGAACTCAAACGAGGCACCTCGCGAGTGAGGGGCTCATCACTATAGGGGATTGACATCATAGATTGACAGACAAACTACATAGGGATTGACATTCTCTACTGTCAGCTCGGTTTCAGCGTTTCGTCGGAGTTTATTAAATTTGAAAATCGTTTTCATAATTTCATTTAATAAAAAAGTTATTTTCTCCTCATTACTTATTAAATCAATTAAAATTACTGTTTAACTTATGGAGATATTTAGTTAATCGTTCTCTACGGTGTCCTTTTATTGTGTAAACAACTTCGTTAGTAACCTCAATATCTTATTGATAATATTATTAATATAGTTCAGTAACTTTAATTTCATCAAAATGAGTTACAATTCGGGTGGGAGTAGTGGTAAAGGATTTGGCTTTGCTGGGTTTACAATGCCGAAACGGAATCCGTCGAACGTATCCCTGCATGCTGTACCTCCTCCGACAACTCCCATGCACGCAGTTCCTCCTCCTACATCAGGACTGTCAAAGCAGGGGTATTCTACTATGAACGCTATTACTCAAACTGCTGTCACAGGCAATTGGGGCAGTCTTGGCAAGAAACGTTCTAAGACTGAAGATGAGTAAGTACATATTTGTGAAAAGTTCACTCACTGGGAGTGTAATTACTTTCCGAGCATTATAAATGTTAATTCTTTCAACATTAATTTTTTTTAATGAAGAATATGTTTCTATAGCATTATACAAATTAATCAAATTTCTAAATTTAATCAATTATACTTTCACAATTAAATATAACAATTAGAACATATTTTCATCTTTATTGAAAGTTTAAATATTTGTAAAAATATTTCTTTCAGCTGTTTGGGTGGATTGCCTGAACATTTATGCAAATAAGCTCTATAGTAGTGAAAAAGTAACAAGCGCTTGAAAGATTTATCAGTCCTGTTAGGTTCTGGGTAGTTTAGTGGTTTGGAGCGGTCACCCAGATTGTGAAAGGTCATGGGTTTGAGTCCCATATCAGAGTGCAAAGGGTATTTTAAGCATTTTTCATTAAGAATGCTTTTCATTAATTAAAAGTGGAACGAAAAAGAGAATATATGCTGATAAGACAGAGAAAAGGATTGAAAAGTGGAGTGTCTACAATTAACTAAGCAGAAATAGTTTTGTTTTGATCTTTGATTTTCAATAACTGAAACTGAAATGAAAATACTAAAAATGTCAAGAGTTTCCTGTAAGCTAGTTAACAATAATAGCCAGGTTTTTGAGCCCTGATTATAGTTTTGTTTAACATTTTCCTGAACAAATTTAGTGATTTAATGAAATGTACCTATTTATTATATTGTTTGTTTTCTTTTTTTATAGATTTCTTAACTTGATGGTGTAACAGTGTGTAGTTGCTAAAATAAATGGTTAATATATCTAATTAACTTTAAATTTGACAAAAAACAGTTAAGTGAAGTTATGAAAAGTATGTGTCAATAAATATTTTTCTTATTGTTTCAAATTGTTTTATGTGTGCTACTTAATTTTAAGCTAATTATTATTTAATGAAAATCTTGTCTCATAAATATTTGAGATTTGATCAGATGGTCACCTTTATAATACAAATGGTTAAGCCTTTTTTTTTTAAGAGAAAATATCAATAATTGGAATGTTCCCTTGATAGTTAAACATAGATCTGATAAAAGTAGCTTTTGTATTTTTTTTTTCAGATATTTTGATGAAGATGATGAGCCTCCTACCCCAGCTTTGGCCTATATACCTGCACCAGGGAGCCCTACATATGATGCTGTAGCAGCTTCAAAGGCAAAAAACCTAATTACTAAATTATTACTCACACAAATATATTATTATGTAACATTTTGATATTTGAACAACTCAACACTTAATTTTAGGCAGATGACGAGGAGGAAGATCCTCTTGATGCATATATGGCAGGTCTGGAGCAGCAAGCAGCCAAAGACATGGTAGCAAGTAAGGAAAATGAAGCCAGTGGAAAGGGAGACAGCGGGAGAGGCACCAGAGGAGATATTGATGAAATGGACGATGAGGAGAGTTATTATAAGTGAGTATATTTTAATTTAATTATTAGGTTGTCTTGTATTTAAAGCATCTGTTTAAATGCAACAATATGTTAAGGTAAACACTTGATGCAGTAAAAAAAACACAAATTTATTACATTCAATTGTAAAAAAATATAAAAAACTCTTAACCTGGTAAACCTAAAATATCATATTTTACTTTTTATTTATAATAAAAATTTCTAAACTTGTAGCAGTAGTTATTTGTTTATACCTAAAGAAGTAAAGATTGCTTATACACCCAAAATTACTAACTTTCTTGAACACTGATATAACAATAAGACAACATCTTATTTAAGCTGTAAGTCAAAATGTGAAACTACATCACATTGCTGCATGCAGCATGAATTTGTAAAATTTTGTGAGTAGAAAAAATCACAAAGATACTCCTAACTTTCGCCATTTTTGTTTTAATTATTCATTATAGGAAAAAAATCCCTTAAAGTTGTCTATAGACGATTATATTTCATATTTAATTTGAGTTGTAAGGTGGTAAGTTAATAAGTATATTATATACTTACTTAAATGATACATTAATAATTACTATTTCATATAAATTTATTAGATATATGGAAGAAAATCCATTGAGCAATGCCGATGATGGATCTGATGTGGAAATTGAGTATGATGAAGACGGCAATCCTATTGCTCCACCTAAGAAAAAATTTATTGACCCATTGCCACCAATCGATCACTCAGAGATTGAGTATGAGCCATTCGAAAAGAATTTCTACACGCCACACGAGGATATAGAGAAACTCACAAATGAACAGGTTGAAGAGTTAAAGAAGAATCTGGGTGTTAAGGTATATAAATTTTGGATATAAATAGAATATAGGTCATATTTTTTTCGTTAGACTTGTAAATGCAAGCTTGATGCACTGCTGCCTGGCAAGCTAAAGGGAACATGTGGGACTCTTCTCGCAAACCCACCATGGTTAGCCGCGCGGATAGGCACTTTTTATCAGTTTACTTTCTTGACTACATTTGTGTTTGTCGTGATGAAATTATATAAATTCTTATTGCTAACATCTGTTGTCACATGTCAGTATAGTAGAGACATGCCTAGTGTGTCCATGAGTAATAACAGACAAAATTCCATTAAAATACTTTGAAATGTAATATCAACTAATTTATAACTATTCTTATCTCAACTCAGTCTAACTGCATTAGTTTAAGAGTTTGTCTTGTATTGACGAGTGAAGATACAATTTGTATGATGGAATCATACAGTTTTTGGCACAAAATATTTTATGTTATTATTTTCGCCCTAGGCCAGGGCCTTCTGTGAGCTTAGGGTAAATCTGCCACTGTGTTATCGATAAGTGTGTGTTCAGATAACAGGTCCGGACCCGCCGCGGCCGGTGAGTAGTTTCGCTCACCTCGGGTTCGACGAGCAGCTGATGCGCGCCATCCGCCGCTCCGAGTACACGCAGCCGACGCCCATACAGGCGGCCGGCGTGCCCGCCGCGCTCTCCGGCAGAGATATCATTGGTAACTATTACCGTTACTAGTTCATACGGTCAATTTTCTGCCGCCTTATAATTAATAAAGTATAGCGTACGTTACGCGCTGATAAAAAAACTTTATTTTGTACAGTAATCTATAATACTAAAGATCAATAAGTCACAAAAATTTTGCCAAAATATATATCGGAATACCAATTGTTTTGCCAAAAAAAAATCTTTAATATTTCTTAGAAAGAAAAAAATAATAATTGTAAAACAGTTATTGGAGTTGAATTTTTTTACTTAAAAAATTAATGTGGGACAAAACAAATACTGTCTCGGAATACTGTATGTGTAATATATATCGGAATACCAATTATTTTGTGTTAATATTATATTGTTAGTTCAATGAAAATGAATTACCTATTAAATGAACAAGAAAATGATAATTTGATTTGATAGGTTGCCATTGAATTGATGAATACAAAGTAGATCACTTCAGTAGATTCAGGTGTGATGTGTTGTGTGCAGGCATCGCCCGCACGGGTTCTGGTAAGACTGCGGCGTTCCTGTGGCCGCTGTTGATACACATCATGGACCAGAAAGAGCTCGCGGTCGGCGACGGACCAATAGGGCTCATACTAGCTCCCACCAGGGAACTGGCGCAACAGGTAACACACTTTATACAAAACGAAATTTTCAAATCATTTTAACAATTTTTTTATCAACTAACATAAATGATGAAGAAGAGAATTGTATCTATAAATACATTGCCGTTTCTGGTCACCCTACTGTAGCCGAAGGTTAACGACCGATGTTTGTGAATGTACCCGCGGTTTGATTACAATATATTAAAATGTTTATAAACATTGATATTTAAATATAAATTTACACCACATTTTCTTCTTACTCTTAACATATACTGGTATAGAAATACTTAGTTGATAAATTAATCAAAATTTATTTTAAAAAACATAAACCAAATCTACCTTTGTTATAATTTTATATTAGTTATACATTTTCTTCTACTTTAATTGGACGAAGTCTTAAAATATCTTGCAAGCATAGAGATCTCTTAAAATCCTAATAAGTAATATTCTTGATAGCTCACTTTTTCTTTACAAGTATTTATTGCTAAATGTGCTTAATTGTTTTTTTTCTATAAGATATACATGGAGGCGAAGAGGTTCGGCAAAGTGTACAACATAAGATGTGTCTGTTGTTACGGCGGTGGCTCTAAATGGGAACAAACGAAAGCACTTGAAGGTATGCTTAAATCAAATGTGACTTATTTAAATCTTAATAAATTTGATCTCTTTATATAATAAACAATATCTTCTTATATAATAGTTTTTATAAGAAAATGAAAAATAATGTATAAATTTGTATTTAAAACTTTCAATTTAACTTAATTGAAATATTAATTATTTTAGGTGGTGGGGCGGAAATAATAGTTGGTACACCTGGGCGTGTGATAGATTTAATAAAGTGCAAAGCTACAAATCTCAAAAGGGTCACATACTTAGTATTAGATGAAGCTGATAGAATGTTCGACATGGGGTTCGGTAAGTCAATATTGTAGTATTGTGAATTATAAAATTTTTAACCAAATAAATCTGTATATTACTGGTACATAATGTATGTAAGTACTTTTTATTTGTTATTCAAAAAGTTCAAAGCCAATTTTATATAAAACAAACATTAATTTACCATTGTATAGCTAGTTGTGCCAAGAAACGTTCATAAGGCGGAAACACGTTTGGGCGCCAAAATTATTCCCTGGCGCCCAACGTGGTGCTGCTATAATCTCTTATTTTCTCCCTTAGAGCCGCAAGTTCGGTCGATCTGTGCCCATGTGCGACCAGAGAGACAAGCGTTGTTATTTTCGGCGACATTTCCACGTAGAGTGGAGAGATTAGCTCGCGATGCCTTACACGATCCCGTGAGAATACAACACGGGGCGGCCGGCGAGGCTAGCGAACTCGTCACACAATATGTGCGGTAAAGTGTTTGTTATACTCCGTTTGCTAATAGTTATTTAAGATACGAGTGCGGAAAGTTAAGTTTTACGAATAAGGGCCAAATAGGGATGATGACTAATTTTTGTTTGTTTGTCCGTCAGGTAGAGTGTTAAAAAATATAAAACACGTATTTTTTTGTTTTTTTCGTAATCATAAAATTACGGCGTTACATCGAGTTGAAATTTCGCATGACGCCACGTTAGAGTACGTTTTCTACTTAACTGTGCCCCCACTCCTCAACTTTAATGCCTGTTATCTAAGCTATTTCTTGTTAAATTGAAGTAAAAAAAAAATACGTATCTAATATTTTTCTATTATCTAACTGACGAACTAAATAGAATTGCATTTTTTTTACCCAGTCATCATACCTATTGAAAACACGAGCGTAGCGAGCGTTTTCATTGGCACGAACTCGAAAAACCTTTTACGCTCAAGTTTCTAACAACATTTTTCAATGCGTTTTTCCGAGGAAATAAAACAGATTTCAGTACATTTTTATTTAACACGTGTTTAAAGACTCACTTTCGGTGTTTACAATGGATTAAAAAAATAGCGCTTTATGAGCAACTGCATTGAAAATTTATTTAGTAAAATACCTTCTATGTTATATATTTGAATAGGTATGACAAAGACAAAATTATCAACGTTTTGTTCCATGTATCAGTTGTAAGATCCCAAGTGTTCATACTTGTTTTATATTTTTGATAAATATAAAGGCGAATTTTATTTTGCTCACTCGATAATAGATTTCTCGTTGAAATAATTACAGAGTATAGTTAATGAATAAATCGGAAACATGTATATAAACACACACACACACGTTATAGCACACACACACACAATACGTCACTACACAGGCCCTGTCATAATACCAGCGTCGGTACTGTGATAAAACACAGTAGCGACATTAGCTGAGACAGGGTCCTAATTGGCCTTCACACAATATTAATACACAAAACTAGATTTATAGACATGAATTTCTGTGAGTGATTGTCTTCTGTTTTTTTTTTTTTGTTGTTATTGTAATGTTAAGGTGTGAATGTCAATAAAAATATTCTTATTCTTATTCTTATTCTTATATGTAATGTCTCAAGATTGGTTGCCCTATGAGAAGAGATAACCTAATATCCTTGTTGCAGAATATTCAATAAACCAGAGGAGAAGTGGTCATGGCTCCTTCAGAATCTGGTTGAATTCACATCTGCTGGCAGTGTGTTAATATTCGTTACTAAAAAGGTAATACTTTACTTTATTTCGAAGTGTCAACCTAAAATATTTTTCTCATACATTTTATTTGATTATTTAAGTTTTATTGCCCTGTACAAGATGACGTGTGCAAAGAAACAAATTATGATTTAAAAAGATAAGATTATTAACACACATATTTACTCAGATTTAGGGTGGAACGTTACGGAGTTGTTGGTTTTGGCACTAAAAGATGGCGCTAGTACATAATCATTTAATTTTTACATTAATAAAAATGTCCATTATATGTCGTGGGCTAGCCGTTGAATTGCGCCGATCGAGATTTGCCCGGGCATATCATGTTATGTAGTCATTTCTTGATTTGCCCAAGATTTGCGAAATGCCCACGACAGGTACATAGTATAAACCAATGTCGCTTCCCATTATCTGTACGCCGAGATCCTTTAAACTACACAAATATACAGAGTGATTCAACAGGAAGAATAATTTATATGATACAGGACCTCGCGGCCGAAGCCGCTTGCAGGAAACTTGTTATTCATACTATTTATGTATTTTTTAATTTATTCTAATAATAACATTTCTTAGAGTTCAAAGGTGTCATTGCACCTTAATGGAAGTATTCCACAAGGTCTAAACATAAACCTTTTTGTATTCCATTACCTTATAATAATGAGAATAGCACATTATTAAGTATCTATTTATTCAAAGTCCAATATAAGACATATTTGCACAGTTAGAAGCGGAACAAACGGCCGCGAACCTGGGAGTGCAACAGTACGACGCGTTGTTGCTGCACGGTGATATGGATCAAGCGGACAGGAATAAAGTAATAACCGCCTTCAAGAGGCACGAAAACAACATTTTGGTCGCCACAGACGTCGCCGGTAAGGGAACCCCAACTTTATGTTTGAATTTGTTATTTGTAGATAATATAAAAATTATGATATAATTTAATTATCGAGTTATCGCATTTATTAACATTTAATTCTAGAAGAGCAACCGCAAATCTAGAACATGATCTAACACCCGTATCAGTATCTGTAAACAAGTAGTTACTTAAGAAAATGTTAAATAAGCCTAGCATTCTATTTTTCATAGACAGTGAAATTGACATTACTTACTTCTGGCTTACTATAGATACGTTAACTATGATTGAGTAGAAATATTCACTTGAATATAAGTAAAAACATAAGATTTCTAGTGATTTCTGTTGGTGCTTGAGTAATGAATTTCTTAAACGTTTCGACCCGCGACGGGCATCCTCACGAGGCAACATTAGCGTTCGTTCTATATTCAATCAGTTCGCTTACTTCATTACGTGTTTTGTGTCCATATTACGCTTACGGTATGAGCATTGTGATTTACATTTTCCGACTGTACAATAGGAGATCAGACAACTTTCTAAAGTGTTTTGAATTAATCATTATGGGCGCTTATTCCCACATTACACAAAAAAAAACTTGAATTTATACTAATAAACCTCATTATGTACCCAAAACTATGTTTAAAATTTAATTGTTCGATGAAAACCGTGTAAACGGCGTTTCAGAGGACACGACGGCATTTGTGGGCTAAACAAAAGGGATTTTCAGTGTTAAAAATGAATTCTTGTCTGCAGTATTTATATTTAAAACCAAATAAATAAAACGGTTAACTGACCCTTGCAACTTGCCAGAAATCAAGTAAATCATTATATTATATGCACTTTGAATGTTTCCCGCGCTTTTCCTAGATAGCTTTATTTTAGATTTTTGTTTATTGATTTAAAAATATAAATAAGTTTTAAACATTATGAACTTTTTAACTATCAATTTTTTTTATCTTATTGCTGTACCATCCACTACCGCAGCAGTATTGGAGCATTAGGATTTCTAATTATCAAGATAATAATTTTCTGGGTAATTCCTTATGATGCTTATATTATTCTTTATTACTGGTAACAATAAAAAAAATACAGAAAGGCATTCAAAATTGTACAAACTTTTATATTTGTTGTTTTAAATTATAAAAATGAAATTAACTGAAATTTAAATGAAAATATTTATTTATTTATTCTTTATTGCCAAACTAAGGACAAATGGCGGACTTAATGCCGTAGAGGCATTCTCTCCCAGGCAACCAGTAAGATTGTACAGAACAGTAATAGGTGGTAAATATTAAAACATTAGCATATATACATGCAATACATATACGTATAATATTAATATACATACATTATAAGTTAACTCCGAGAAACGCCACCCGTCCCTATGACAAATCTGAACATAGAGTGTTGCGCTAGCCCGCGGCCTGGACATCCCGCACGTGCGCACGGTGGTGAACTACACGGTGGCGCGCGACATCGACACGCACACGCACCGCGTGGGCCGCACCGGCCGCGCGGGCGTGCGCGGCCACGCCCACACGCTGCTCGACCGCGCCCGCGACCGCGACTTCGCGGGCCATCTGCTCAGGAACCTCGAGGGGGCCATGCAGGTAGCGCACTGCACACCGTACACTGTACACTGTACACTGACCACTATCGCTCACTAAACAAGGTTTAGCGTCAGAGTAAATTTACGCTAAAATGAGGAAGTGTTAAAAAAAAAGCACTTCCACTAGATGGCGACTCTAGCTAAAACTGATTTTTGCAGGAAACGAATGGACCAAAGCCAATCATTTCCGTTACTTTTAACTAACATAGTAAAAAACTGAAATTTGAAAAAATCGAAACTTAGATATCAATACAAATACGAAAAAGTATAAATAGAATATGAGTTGTTTATTGAGTTTTGAAAACTTATTTACTTTTAAACTTGAAAGAAAACGTTTTTAATGTTTGCTAATAATGTTTTTTTTTAAATACTTCCTCATTAAAATTTTATTATTAGTCCAAATTAATATTATACAGAGAATAAGCAAACCTACTACCAGGGCTTGGAAACCGGTTTATTTTTTGAACCGGTTCGACATGAGTACATTCGGAACTCTACATGAAAGGTTACGCTCCTTTGAACCGCTTTTTAATCCTGTTCACTAGATATAAGGATTTCTTCAATACCCGGTTTAAATATGACTCCAGGCAATGATTTCACAGAGTTTCGGCGCAGCGGTGCGTATACTCATATCCATAACATCCTTACACAGGTATAATAAATGTCGTAACAATGCTCTTTACGAACCAAGCGAATTACCGGGTTTTAATTCATTATAAGAGAACAGTTTTTATCTTAATTAAAACGGTTTATTCTGAACCGGTTTCAAGCACTGCCTACTACCTTTAAAGAGTAAATATTACCCCCGTAGAACTTCGTACTAGGTTAACCTTTGCTAAGTCTCTGTTTAATAATATGAATTTTGACTAATACTAACTGCAGTCTCAGCGTAAATTTAGTCCAACGCTAAACCTTGTTTATTAATAATACTGTATGAGAAGAAGTAACAGTTAGTTGGGTCGATGAGTACTCTGTTTCGATTTATGTTGGTCGCAACGACGCCGTGTAATAACCACGGTGGTGGACCTTGTTGGTCTATGACATGTATTCTTACATTATGAATTCACAGAAATAGTAACTATACTAAATTAATAAAGAGTTCCACTTAGCGTCTATTCAGATTATTTTTAATTGTATTATTACATGTACATATTTTAAGAATCCTTTTTTTGCTGGTCAAATTATTAGCATGCTAATTATATAGATACGCCTAATATAATGTATTTTTAATACTGATTTCTAAAAAGCAGCACTCCATTCTTAACATTGTAATTTTTAGAATGGTAGTCCTGACTGGAAGGTAAAGAAATATGGAATAGTTGTCTGAATGCTATCATTTTGAATACAAATATTTTTGACTCAGAAATGCTAAATCGATTGTGTATCAAAAAAAAATATATATATAAATTTTGAATCTCTGTGTCGTATCCACTTTAATATAGACAGCAGAAGTGATTTTATAATGTCAGCTCAACTCATTCCGATCGCTGGTTGATTAATCAGGAGGTACCAGATGAGCTGCTCAGCCTCGCGATGCAGTCCGCGTGGTTCCGCAAGTCACGATTCAAGAAGGGCAAAGGGAAAAATCTTAACGTGGGCGGCTGCGGATTAGGGTGAGTAAACTATTATAAACGACGACTGGTACTTTCAGTTTTGATTTTTTATTAACTTTTGATATTTTTTTTGCCTTTCATACATTGAAATAAGTGGGCTTTCCTTGTTCTGAACTTAAGGTCGGCCGAAAATATACTCTATTATCTTGTAGTTAAGGTTCATTTGAACGTCATAAAAAAACAATAAGGTCGATTTTCTCTTGCAATAATATGATAGTGATCATTGCTTTCTGTGTCTCTCTTTATTATTTATGTTAAATTTACGTCATGTTATGTCATGAGTTCGGGTTCTCGCAACTAACTACTTGCTTTCTTGTCTAAACGCTATTTCCATTCAATCGGTCAATTGAAAATGGACATAGTTAGCTACTATTTGAATAAAGATTATTTTGAATCTGATTAGGGGCCATCCATAAATTACATCACACGTTAGGAGGGGGGGGGGGGGGTTTGATCAAATATAATTACGATCAATTACAATTAAAATTTTGTTGATAATCAGCAGTTTATATTTGTCTATGTTTTAATAGTTTTTATACTGTCTGACTTTATTTTCGATTTTATATTGATGTTATTATAATTTGATGGTTGACGACCCCTGCTTGTGGGCAATAGAAGCGTTTGTGAAAATATTTCAGTTTTCACAACCGTACATAGTCCTTAACGCGTTGTTAATAATATTTATTGTTACATTAGGTACAAAGAAAGACCAGGTTTACCTCAACATAGTGACGAGTCGCCGTCGGCAACAGTGGAGAAGGCTCACGGAGGTCCCGCCACGGACAGACTCGCGTCCCTCAAACAGGCCTTCCGTTCACAGTACAACCAGGTGAATACTTTGTCAAATTTCTTCATTTGATTTTAAACCTTAATGCAATGATGTTTGACTTTAAAATCTGTTGCGAAAATTTGACATATTTATGTGACCTAACGGCCATGCTATATGTGTTTATAGTATACGTAAAACACATAAAATAATATGTACCTGCGCTTTAGATTAGTTATTGAAAGGTGGTGAATGTCGCCCAATCAGAATGACTCAAATAGCGAGTCTTCGGATGGTTCATGGACCTGATACCGCCGAGTGTGAGTGAAATGGACATATAATGCGTTGCATTTTTACAACTGAAGCGGTGAATTTATTAAACACGCATGCCAGTGGACAAGTCAGCAGAATTCTCCGCTTTATGGTTATTAAAACAAGATTATTATAATTTTTTGTATGCTCCGTGCGAACTACGCGCCATATTAATTGAGTTTGAAGTGTGTTTTTCATTTACATATCTAATACTGCAGTTTTGTTATTATTATATCAATATTTTTATCTTAGAACTTCTAATATTATTTTAGAAAAAAAAACATTACACGTTTTAATTGTTAAAAAGGTTTTGGACCACTGGACAATTCAACAGTATTTATTCTGTAAGGGATTCTTGAAATTATATTCATCGACTTTTTTTTTAGTCTTCGATATCTTAATAACATATAATCAAACCTCTGTCTTTCTGTCCGCCTGGCGTAGTCAATTTCCTCCGAAACTACGGAACCTATCGATATGAAAATCGACGGGTGATGAACGCGAGACCCATGTGCTACAGTTATCATATTTTCTATTTTAATAATAATTCCTAGTTCACGGCGTCAACGGATCATTCGTGGGAACAAACTCGGGCGACGATCCAGCCGGGCGTGAACGCCCCCGCCGCCTCCCAGCAGGAGCAAGAAAAACCAGACCGCGTACGCAAGAGCGGTAAACGTAGTAGATGGGAATAGTCAACTTTATCTATATCGTTATAAGTGTTGTTTTCATACAAACTATTCGACCATGGGTATTTTTGAAATAATAAAAATGTATCACGCTGAAATGTTGGGAAGAGAAATTTACTTGGATTTCGATTGTTATATTATTATAATAGGAAATCGAGGATTTTTCTTCAATGGATCGTGGTTTGTATAATAATTAATAATAATTAATATATTGCGGAATTACAGTGAAATTTGTAATAAAATTGTTTCTGATGTGTGTGTTGCAACACAATAAGTTAATTTTGCAATAAGTATTAGTAAAATATTGGATGAAGCGCTTCTTACTGGTGCATAATTAATGGACGGTAGCGGCGTTTTCTCGCTCAAAAATTAGCAACATGAATACGATTCTTAAAAAAAGGATTATAGTAAAGATATTATTTGTCAAATCTGTCAAAATTATTTGACATTAGCAATGACTTTTGCCAACATTATAATTGGTGTCTTCGTGACACAAAGTTCTAATAAACATTGTGTTTATTTAATTTATTTATTATAAAAGAAATATAAGAATTTTTGCATTAAAATTATTCTTATTAAAGTCCGGTCAAAGGTGTTTTCGAATATTCCCGGTAATTTCTAAATACTATGATATAGTATGCGTAAGAGTTGAATCTTAGTTATGGAGTAGATAGAAAATTAACCCACGATATTGGATTGTTATAATGTAATCTACTTTGTGATTAAGGAATTTGCGATTTTTCGTCCCTTCTGATTTAAAACTGAAGTTAGGAAATGGGCTCATTTCCTAACTTCAGTTTTTAAACCCACCACTAAAAACCTACATTTTGTCACTTTAGTGGGCTCACTAAAGTGACAAAATATTGGTTTTGAACAAAGAGGTCTCAAATCATGGTTTATTTACATTGTTCGAGGAGATTCTCTGTTTACATCTCTGAAAGCTCATCATGTTAGTTGACAAATGAAAATGAGCCAGAAATCATATGATGATTTTAGAGACTTAACTACCTCCCGCTGACTTACTAATAACTCCCCACTCCACCCCCAAAATCGCGTGTATGTAAAGTTATAATATTATCATGAATTGCAGGTGGATATTTTCTAATTCTGGAAGATAAGTCGCTTACAGGTTAAAATCATGCATTAAACAAAAAATAAATCCATGTGATAATTATCCCCTACACCCTCCTCCCTGGTGTTATGTGAAATTTTTTCGAGCCTCATGTGATTAAGGATATGTTCCGATATTCACTGCGACCACTGAACAGTATGACGTCAATTTAGTATACTGGAAGCCCGTTCCTTTATAGCTAGTTATACTGGTGACTTTTTAAAACGGAACGCAGTCCAGTATACTGTTAATCCTATTTTTTGGCGCCATTTTCAAATTTGTTAATGCAAGGTGAATATAAATATAAAGATTCCCTCTTTTCAAAAGAAAATATTATAAAATTGGAAAATTGTATAAAAAAATTATTTATCAATTAAATCCATCTTATAAATAAACGTAAGTATTTTTTTTGTTTATTTAGAAACTTATCATTTTCTGATTCTGTTTCGACTGATCACGTGATCAAAAGCACTGCGAGCACCTTACCTCGAAATCTCCAGTGCTCACAGTACAAATATGGCGGCAATTTATGACGTCATAAATTTCCCTAGGGTACTGTAGCAGTGTACTGGCAGTCCATAACGGAACGGATTTTTCAGCAGTAAGACCACTGCGCAGTGCTCGCAGTGTATATCGGAACATACCCTAAATTTTCTATTTCAAAGTCAAAAACAAAACTATATTTGATGATGTCTGTCTGTTTGTCACGTGAGAATGTAAGCACGTTATTAACTTTCATTTGCTGTTGAAAAGTATTTTTTAACTCGGTAATGCGAATGAAAAAAATGAAAGCCATGGAAATAGGAATAAAATGTATCTCTCTTTATTAGTTGTGTCGTGTTAATTCAGGGGTCGTGGGAAAAAAATCGGACACTTGTAATAGTTTCGATTTTTCAGTGATGTAAAAATGTTATTGTATGTATAATATGCGGAATGTTTTATTTTAAAACTAGTTCAGTAGTCTCAGAGTGGCACTATTTTTAACCGACTTGAAAAAGAGGAGGTTCACAAATCGACTGAATGTTTTTATTTTTATTTTGTGACGCTTTAAGAAATCGGGCAATAAGAGAGTGTGTGCACTAATCTTTTATATAATAAGTGGGTGATAGACGTACGAACTTTATGTACGCGATTTTTAAGACAGATCTTATTCGGCTCGATGGCGGTGACACACGTGAAGATGACTCACACTGTTTTACAATGTCGTCGACGGAAGAAGCTTTCGTGCTATTTAGGAATTATAACATATTGCATCTTAAAAACTAATAAAAAAATACGAAATCGAAAAAAAAATGGCTTACGAAATGAGAGCGATTATCAAATATTAATTCAGTAAGATAGTTAACTGTTGAGAAGGAAGATTCTCCATAATTAAAAATAATTAAATGATTGAAACGAATTAATATTACTTAAATAAGATCAAACAAGCATTGCGCCTCCACGGATTAAGTCGAGCCAAAAGTTGGCGTACTTACTCGCACGTCTGTACTTTAGGTTTGAACTGACGTGATGTTTAGAATACATTGTTTCATTGCAGTTTTTACAGCGAATCATGTATTTCGGGCGAATTATCATGACAATTGTGTAAAGTACAGTTTGCAAAAAAAAAAAACATTTAGAACTTTTATTAAATTTTTTTTTTTGTAAACAATCTTAATAAATGGTATCTTAAAAAACTTAACAATCAGATAAAAAAAATTTCAAACGTATCAAAAATCCTATAAGAATAACAACTAATAGTAAGAGAATAAATTTCGAAAGCGCAAATCCGCGTAATAGTGATGTGCTACTGAGCTTCCATGGGCGAAGACGGAGCGTATGTACCGATTATGGAGTGTGGAGTAGCGATTATGGAGTATCGACCCGGGTGTCATGCTAATTCGTACGAGTAGGAAGCCGAATATCACGTATATACTTGTCTATGTGTATATGCTTTTGCTGTAATGTTGTTTTATTATGGAAACTGTTTATATATTTTAATTACACAATACATTACAGCAAACATAAGTAATATTTATAACTACCGTTTTCAGTGAAGTTTAAAAAGGAATTATTTGATGTGTTTTTATTCATAATGCCCGGTTGTTTACAAAGTGTGCCCTATACAATAACTTCGTTGACAACTTATAATAGTTTACAACATCGTTTTAATTACTATTCTGTATGTACAGTCAACATCATTTACGTATGTACAGTCAAACAGCACGTCGGTTTAGCACATCACAATTTCTTAATTTTGTTATAAACCTTAATATATTGAAGTTAAAGTTCAAAACGGTTCCTGTAATTTGATATTTGTGTTAATCTGAAGTGCTGTTGTGTGTACAAATGAAATGTTTGTCTTGATTGTAAATTTGGATATACCCCACGTTTGAAATGGAATGCAATCGCACTAATATAATTTTGAACTTTATGTACATAGAAATAAAGTGATATTTAAGATAATCTATTTGATTTTTATTATATCCTTCTATATTTCCATTTGAACTGAATTAGAAAAAGAGCTCGTCAGTTTTGTACTATTTTATATTTTACTAAAAATATTACTGTATCTTATCATTGAATTTTGGACCTTATGGACGTGTACTTTTGTGTTAATATAATAATGAGCTATAAAACATAAAAAAATTAGACGACAAAAATATCTTACCTCAAGAACTTTTATCTACTATTTATAAAGGCTACCATATGTGTAATTTTAGATACCTAGGGCAGTTTAGAAAAGCGGTTTCCGCAGTATAACAACGGTAATAGCGTGTGGGTGTTAATGTGAACCGAATAGCTTTAATTTGTTTCTACTAACTGCTCCTGGACACGGAAGGGCCGATTGCATGGCTCGCCGAATATAAACTCATTTGTGATTTACAACTAAAGATCTGAAATGAAATGAAAATGTCTTTATTCAAGCAAGATTATTTCAAGCACTTTTGAATCGTCCTTAAAAATATTTTCCCCTACCACTTGTTCAGGACGTCTTTTAGCTGACAAGAAGAACAGGCGAAAGAAACTTATCAGCACTTTATCATAAGTAATGACATTTACATAAATAATGTCATCACCAAAATAGTACGTATTATAATAATAATAAATACAACTGTCAAAGTAAGACATAGGTTGGTACATATAATTAGTCGTTATGGAACAAAGCGAAGGCTATGAATTCCATGCATTGCGGTCCTTAAAATAATCAACAACAAACAGCCTTTACTCATAAGTATGTTCTTTACATGATATTTAAATTTATTTATGGGTAGGTCAACTACATTTTGTGGAACTTTATTGAACATAGCAATGCATTTACATAGAAATGATCCTCTGGTTTTGAAAGTTTAAAGCTTGGAACTCCTTGGTCTCTTCTTGGATCAACAATACAACTAGATAACACTCGCATACTCTGTGATAATACTGTACAGCAACTGAGTTCCGGAACTGGGTTAGTATTGAGTCGCGTTGTCAATTTTATTTTTCTTAAAATATACGTATAATATATACGTTGATAATTGGACCGGACAGCATTTAGATAAAAAAATAACTTGTGTGTGGTTAAAAAGTTCATATAGTTTCGAGATTATTCGCTGAATATTTTTGCTAAATATTAAATATTTCTATTTATGAACCAATAAAAAATAAATAAATAAAATACAATTTTTCAATATTTGTAGTCTGTTTCTCATCTTAACGAAATACCAATCAGAGTGCATGACCTCGTTAGTGGGTAAATTGTTAGTAAAATGATCTACAAAAAGCGCGGGGAATATTCAAAATTCAAATTATTTTAAGAATTTACCTGATTTTTAGCTAGTCACAAAGGTCAGCCTTCTATATTCTTTATTAATGAGTGTGACTACACACATACATACATTCTGAATAGTATAATTCATTATTTTTAATGAAAATCCTTTTGTTTATCCCACAAATGACGTCACGTCCCCAGAGTCGCCGATTATACATTTAAATTTTAAATATTGTTTTGGTTCATTATAGATATACATGAAATATATCTAAAATATATGTCAACAAAACAAATTATTAATATAATAAGTTAAAATCTAAAAATAATTTAAATTTTCAAAATTATCCGGGAGAATGACGCCACAGCACAGCACTCTGAAAAGAAAATCGTTTTACGTATGCTGAAGGTTGAATAGGGATGATGACTGGGTAAAAAAAAAATGCAATTCTATTTAGTCCGTCAGTCGGATAATAGAAAAATATTAGACACGTATTTTTTTTACTTCAAATTATCAAGAAATACCTTAGATAACAGGCATTAAAGTTGAGGAGTGGGGGCTCGCTACGTCACTGTTGAGTAGAAAACGTACTCTAACGTGACGTCATACGAAATTTAAACTCAATGTAACGTCATAATTTTATGATTACGAAAAAAATAAAAAAATACGTGTTTAATATTTTTTTAACACTCTACCCGACGGACAAACATACAAAAATTAGTCATCATTCCTATTATGTTGAAATAAAAAATGAGGTAACTACGATACCTAAACAATATTTTTAAGGGTTGTGACAGTCGCGTCGTAAATTTATATATTTTTTTAAATAGAAAACCCACAAGTAACTCATAAATGTAATTATACTTTTTTTTAATAGCGAACTTTGATGATATTTGAATTACTCTATAGTTTCAATATTCGTTTTCGCAACATCTACGTCATTGGCACGTTATTTTTGTTAAAGTGTTTAATAGGATATAGTGGTAGAATTTAGTTGGTTGTAGTTGTTTATATTAATATCCATTTATTTTTCTCTTTACAATAATACTTTATAAAATTATTTTTTTAATTATACATACTTAAACTTAAACGTACTGTGAGAGACTGGAGCCTGTAAAATATACCATAGATATCTGTACTAAAAAGTCTCCTTTGTAGATGGCACTGTTGTTCTATTAACAATGTTAGATATCCAATACCTAACTTCATAATCAAAGTCATTTTCCAATTGGACTTTTCTATATGAAATAAAACAAGAAGAAATACCCCCTGCTGAGTATATACATAATTTAGCCACATGGACTAAATTATCTCAACAATTCAAGGACACCAGGAAGTAGCATAAAATGACAATCTAGAGACTTACTTTCAAATCTATAATCGAGAGAAAATTTGAATGAAAGAAGAAGAAATTAACAGTTCTTGTTAAAGTTATTACTTTTACTAGACTATAGATACGAGTGTTTGTACTTAACGTTGTTTGATTTACAATACCTGACTCATATGACCAGAATTCATTATCTCTCTTACTCTTATCTACATTTCTATAGCTACTATTGAGTTCGTTACTTGCGTCGAAGAAGTTGTTAATAGTTTTTTAATTCAGACCCGCACGCGACCCACATAACTTTAAAGATAAAGCTTACAAGGCGTTTCGGAGCGAACTGATAACAAAACTATTCCGTGCTTTGGACGGGAGAACACTATCTATTTGTGTATCTTCTAAATTATGAAAGCTAGCATAGTAATAAATTACATTTTATTCTGCGGAAGTCCATTACTATAACCGTGAAATAATATCTAGCAACTTTCACACTCAGTCAATATTTGCAAGACCTGCCCCGCGATTCTGTAAAATCCAAACCCGAATTCGAATTCACTCAGGTGTCCCAATTCACTTCAAAAAGCGGCATCAGCTCGAAATCGAATTGGTAATAACGTTTCGTGGCATAAGTGAAGTGAGTTTGCAAATGAAATAGGAATATAATGTCTGAGACTTGTATATTCAGTCAATTTAGTTTCGTACGTTTAGTTTTGTATGTAAAAAACGGTTTTGGATTTAATATGTGGCGGTTTATTTAGTTTTAACAGGATAGTTTATACACCTTTAAACCTATGTATATCCCATCTTTATCACACATGCGTACTATAACTATAGCCGTCTTACCTCAATGACGTGCTACAACTTTTCATGTAAAGACCTCCGCGCCGGACATTGAGTTTATTCAATACGTTTTTTATTGTTTGCGATCGCTTAGTAATTTTATATAATTATAGTATTTAAACCTCTACAAAGTGACTAAGAAGGACTAAGAAGGGGAAGCAAGGTACGTACGCATGTTCCAATCACTTTTCCTGTTCTTCGGCCTATATTCTTTATCCAAATTATAAGGTGTTTGCAAGGCACATTTTGATAATAATTGTCTTAGATAAATATTACATATAAGGTTTTCTCTTTCAAAAATTGAAGTTAATATTATTTCATTAAAAGTATGTTTTCGTATATATAAACTAGCTGTTTTCTCGCAGCTTCACCCGCGTGAATTGTAATTCAAAATCTTCTTATTATTTTTTCAGTCAACTTCTTAGCTATATTTTGGCACATAATTATCATCGGTACATTAGGTAATCAACAATATACGGAAAAATTACCACATAAATCCTCGTGTTAAAGCAAAATTGCTCTTTATGGCTAAGTATGTTAAAAATACTTTGTTGTAGGGTACTTACTAATTTGAGATCTTTGTTAAAAAATGAGAACAAGAAAACTTTACTTTTTCTTAAATGGTAAATTATCGTAAAATTAGTGACAATCTACAGGTATCACACTCTTTAATTGCTGTAAGTGCTGATACTTAGTGTCTAATATAGGCAGTCTAGATGAATAGAGTGGAGGTACATTATTTATTACAGCTGAAATAGGTTTCGGTCTCCGAGGAAGTGGGCTGAAATCATCTTTAAAGTGTTTTTTAAACTTTATTGTGCCGTTAGGGTTATACTTAAAAACCCTCAGATTCACTACGCAATCTACTCCAGCAGAAAGACCAAGGCGAATAGTATGTCACTCGCGTAGGATGTAGCTTCTTGTAGTTGAAATAATATTTTTTTAAAACGGTTCAATCGTTTTGGAGCCTATACAATGACTACCAACTAACGATCACTGAAATCTTACATATTAATAATGTTAGTGCAAATGTGGTGCATGGTGGTGCGAGAGCAGGTACATAGTGATTTTTTTAAATTCTGGATCTTCAAAAAATATTAGTCTATTATTGTAATACTTAGCTAATCGAATGCTTACTTATTTTTCTTCTTACCGTAACTTTATATTTGAAATTCGTTGTACCACACCTCCCCCACTTAAACAATACACATAATTCAATTGATTTTTTTATTTTTACTTGGCAATTTCAATTTTTGAGGTCCACAAGGAAAATTCGGAAACACCTAAAATTAAATTAAAAATTATCTAAGTATTATGTTTTCTGATCGGAAATAGTATCATCACATCAGACCTTCCTTATGGACGTAGTCGAATCAAATCGAATAGGGACCTACCACGCCCAGGGCGGATTGGTGGATGTTAACGACTGCAGATGCAGCCGGGACCAAGGCTTTACTTGTCCCCCGAAGCACTAATGAGCTCGAGATAGTAAATGTTTAGTCACCCATCCTATGACCGGCCATTGAGAAAGTTGCTTAACAACCTTACCGCAGTCCGAGCGCGCTAACCACTGCGCCATCGAGCTCCAAGAGAGTCTACACCACCCAAAACTTTTATTATTCTGAACCAAGTTGCGAGATGTATAATTGTTTTGGCTAGTTGTCTGCTATGAACATGGACAATGATACGCAAACAAACGAAACGCCCGCTTCCGCTGCTGTCTGCATCGCAACATAATCACAACACAGGTGTACGAAACTAAACGCGAACACTTCCCGCGACCGTGCTTGCTGTATGGTGTGACAACCATAGTGCTACGCGCCAATATTACTTTTTTTTATTTGATTTTCAAATTTTTTTTGTTTACTAAACTTTATGCTTTTACCGAAAAATGGACGGTATTTTTAAATAATTACAATTAACGTTACAAAATCCGAACTTTCAAGAAGTTGCGTGCTATAATGTAGTGTAATACAGTGTATAACTTTATTAATTTATTGGAAACGGTAATACTAAGGTAAGTGTCAGTTAATATAACATTTGAAAATTAAAAGAAATTCTAATAAGAATAATACGTTTTATTTATTAATAATTTAGTTAAGTATACAATTTTTGCTAAAATTTCGGATAAGTATTTAAATAATGATAGTTAGCTTTAGTAGAATTAAGGTTGGTATTAGGTAACTTAATTTGAAGTGATTAATTGCATGTACATACACAAGATTTAGTAACAAGTTGCAGTTAAAAATTCTTTAATAATTGAAATTGCAGTTAATTAGAATTTTTTCTATTTCTCGGTTAAGTTGGTGGACGGGGCTTGTCACTTAACACTTAAATTTATATGCATTTGCATAGTGCATTGTATAAAAATATAGTACCAAATTAATTTTTTCAGCATAAATAAATTAGTTTAACCTAATTAAGTTAGAATCATATACAACATATACAAATCTTTTAGCGGTTGAATATCCAAAAACCCCTTCGTAGTCTTTAATGAAAAATGCTTAAAGATCTCACCAGTCCCACGTATCTCAATATAGGACTCAAACCCACAACCTTCGTATGCCGGGCGATTGCTCTAACCATCGAATTATCCGAGAACTAACAGGACTGACGAATTCTTCAAGCACTAGTTACTTTTCATAACCAGTGAGCGTATTTTTTAATTTTACTTTCGCTATGCTATACAGATACAATCACACCTATATATTAGATATTTTTTTGTATTTACATTTAATAATTTATTTAGTCATGTTAGCATAGCATTAGTTTGAATAGTCATCAGTTGACTAAGGAACCTTGATATTTATCTCACCATAAAAGAAAATGTATACGTTCATTAGCACCAAAAACACAAGTTTTTAAGAAATTGGCAGCGGATTCGAATACCGTCTCGGGCATGCGACACTTGCACTTGAGACAATTGAATGAAAATATTATTTTTATTGTAAAATAGCTTTCCGCCAGCGGCTTCACCCACGTGGTCCTGTATATAAATCTTCCTATTAATGAAAACCGCATTAATATCCGTTGTGTAGTTTAAATGATCCCAGCGTACAGAAAGCGGGAAGCGATTTTGTTTTATACTATGTAATACTATGTAATAGTGTTTATAATTACAAAAACCCAGAATGGTAGTCGTTCAGATAATGATAATAATAGTGCATGATTGTCACCGAGTAGGTACACCGCGGAGATAATTTGTTATAATGTTAACGCATATTCATCGTCTAAGTTGTAAAGTCATCGCGGTTATTATATTATGGCTTTTATTAATTGCACTTGATTCACGACAGAGTTGGAAACCATCGGCGGATGTTAGAAATTACCATTATTTTCGGTGTCATTAAAAGGATTTTTATTTTGTAGACCTGTGAATTTGTATTGAAATCAGTTGAGATAAGCAACAGGCATCACTTGAAAAATTATTTATAAATACAAAGAATGAAGATGTTAAGAAAATCAAATGTAATTTTTTAATCTGTTTCAACCACAGCTTTCAACCAATTTCAACAAAAAGTTGAGTCCAAAATGGACTTTATAATGTTAGGGTTGCTAGGGCACAGGCCGATCTTATGTAAGGCATTGAATCTAATTGAATAGCCTTGCGAAGCACGGAGGAGCTCATCAGAGTAATTAAATTTGTAAATCGAAGTCCTGAGAGCTCAGGATTTTTGGTCTCTTCTAAGGCTTACGGTCGGATTTAGGAAAGGTCAGGATTTTTAGAATTATTAATGAAATATTGATTTTAAAGACAAATTCTTACTAACTTTGTGATTTGCAACGAGTGAGCGAGAATCCTATAGATCCGCAGTGTATAAAAACGATAATAATTTGACTTTTATAATTGTTAAAATTTCAGGATATGTATTATATCTTGAAATTTTAACAAAAAAGACCTAATTTCCATTGGGAATTTCCATTTCTCCGGACTTTTGATTTTTCCTCTGGTAACCCTACTCGTAGGTTGTATGGTCTATCAATACACCTTAACTGATTATGATTATATTGATCTAGATAGAAAAACCTAAACAACTGTTAACCGTTTATTTATAAAAACCAAGGGAATTATACTAACTCGGAAAACGTTACAAATACGAACTGAGGGCAAACTAGGTTGAAATTTTAATTGTATGTTATGGTGAAGGATTTTAATTATTAAATCCCGAGTCGAGAAATGTACATTTAACAGAACGTCAAGTTATACAAAACTGTTAAATTTTCCCACTTAATTGTAAACCTTATTACACTGAGGGAATAAAGGCTGTGCGTCGGGCTACAACAATATAATGGAAATCTAATGAGAGAATACAATACGCAGACCTGATAAATATAGACACGTTCATTTACCACATTGACCCGAAAGAGAATAGAATCTTGAACATCAAAGATGACAACACCTTAAAAACTGGATTGCGAGCCACTCGACTACAAAATCTCTACTACCTCTGTGGCTAGTTTTCTGACTTGAGGATTAGTTTAGGATGTCTACGATTTGCATTGTTCGATAAATTAAAATCTGTTTGCGTGATGTTCATGGTTCGATTCCTGTATTACTAATCCATTTCGTTAGAAGCAAAATATTAGGCGTTTGAGGGCCTACCACAAATAATTATAGCTGCATTGATTTCGATTTTTTACCAAACAAATTTAATACTGTGTGGGTTTCTGCCACAGAAACTAGATATATTTCTGTGGGTTTCTGTCCTCTTATAGTTAACAGTCGTAAACCTAGTCTTAGTGACATTAAAATAGGTAGGTACATAATGTAAGTTAGAGCAGGATGAACGATATTATCTTCTGATTAAAGAGGGCTTGTACACCAAAATAATTAAATTGATAAAACTGTTATTATATATTCTTAGTAAGGCAACCTTAAGGGTTTTGTCGCAGCTAAAACGTGAATATTGAAAATAAAAAAAATTAAATAACACTTACAATTCACATTTTTTTTGCATTTCTTGTTATAATCACACCGTTTATATTTTTTTAAGGAAACATTGATAAATATGTGACTTACTTTGTAGATGAGAGCATAATGTGGCACTTTTTTATTAATCTTAATGGTTTAGTGAGTTCTTACATGTGTTAAGATTATTATTATTTTCTATGCTAAATCAATTATTATAAATATATCTTATTTTTGATCACATCGGTATCGCATTATATTTCTTTGGAATAGACCCCTTGGTAATTCAATCAGTTCTGACACTGTTGTCAATGGACTGGATCTGGGACGGTCCACACCATGGCGAATTATTTTAATTTAGCTCTCACTCTTACTTTTATGCAAAGTACAAACACCGTAAACATAATAAGTAAAGGAGCAGATTCGACTCTACATTTATTTTATCAAAATACAAAATTAAGTATTGATTGTTTAACACAAGATCTTGAGCTCAATTTTGAATCATATGTCTCGCGTCGAGCGCTCGATTTCTACTGACTTTTGTTCGACATCAGAATTCGTTTCTGATTCTGAATTTATTTCTGATTCGCTCGACTGCAACGAGTGCTATGAACCACTCGTCGCTTAGCGAACGTTGTATGCGAGTGATAGAATAAACATGAAATAAATCAATGACGGTGAAATAATGTATAAATGACGTTTATGGTGGTTTTTTTTATATTCATACTTTTATTATATGGTGTTTTTTTTTACATATAATACATAGAACAAAATCCAATATTTCGAATCATGTTAGCCACACTGCAGACGGACGATTCAAAAATACTAAAAATGGCATTATGCGACTTAGAAGACGAGCGTGACTTGGGTCATATACGAGTGAATCATAAATAGAGCTTAAGTACGTATCTATAGTCGAGTAAAAGTAATTACTTAAGTAAATACTTTTAACAAATAAACAAAAATTTGGATGAAGTAAAACTGCTTAGTTAGAATACCTACTATTATTATGATTAGCTAGTTTTTATTTCATTCATATTGTCGTACATTGGTTAAAAATATCTATTAAAGTTATGTCATTTTCTCAAGTAATTACCTACTTTTCTTGACTAGATTTCTGAAATTAAGTTTGTATGTTAACATCTACCAACAAATTTAATAAAAGATGTCCTGACTTACTGCCTGACAGACAACGCACAGCCTAACTCACTGGTCGTAGAGACTTGAAATTTGGAGGGTACATTCGTCTCATTATCTAGAGGTGTACTAAGAATGGATTTTTAGAAATTCCACCTCGAACGGGGTCAAAAAATTGTATGAAACTTCTTTGTTTTGGACCTACATCGATTAAAATCGGTATTTGAGTAGTTTAAGATCCTAAGAAGCTAATGCGGCCAAAAACCAACTCTTAAATAGGAGTGAACATTTTTATGGGATATCAAAATTTTATCATAGCAACCATTGTTTAATATTTTATTTGTCATTGTATACTTCTATAATCTTTGTTCATGATATAAACCTCATATCATGAGCAAGGATTTCCTTATAGTTATGAAAGTTGGTATTTGAGTATATATTGTAACAAAAATTTCATTTTTAATATGAATTTTAAAAAAATGTACTAATATTATATATAAAAGATAACAACTTTCTTTTTTAATTATACTAGATGGAGATAAGTATATACTACATCGCATTGTTTTGGTCAAAAGTTGAGTTTTAAAGTATTAAAAACTTTGTTTATTCTAAATTGCGCTCTCATTTGATTCTTTGATTCAAAGACATTTCGTATATTTAATTTTTTAATTATTCTATTAAATAATGTTAAGCTATTTGAAAATACAAAATACTATGTACTTTCAAACAGCTTATTGGCTGTCATGTTAGCTCTGTACAATTATTCTTAAATTAAATAATGTAATTAGGCGTATAGTTGTTTCTTTTACCTTAAATGTATTAATATTTTTTGTTGTAGTATCTTCGAAGTTGAACATCAAGGTGATTTTAAATTAATATGAAGGATATTTCGCTATTTATAAAATTTATAGTCATTCTGGAGAAGGACGTTGTGATGGATACTCAGCTTATCGACTTTTAGCCGTGCAATTGAAATGCTCTATTTTAATAGGCTAGCGGATGTTTAACCCAGTTGATTGCGATATAACATCATAAATTAACCTGAATGTTTTTTCATTGTTTTTACACAAAATCTCCTCAATTTAATCTCGAAAAAAAAAAACAGCTGTGAGTTAAAAAGTTGACCAAGCAATTGTCAAGCTATAAACCACTAAACCGTGTTGACTTTATTTAGGACATAGGTTAGTTTTATTTGTGATAAAAGGGTTGAAATAGGTAATTAAAGTTTCTATGCAAGATCGTATTGTCTAAGATAAAATCATGAATCTTCATGTAACCAAAACATACACACATACAACAACTTTTTACACGATATAATGAAAAAATATTTCTTTTTATTTTTTTGGAAATGCTGCTCAAAGTAACTACACCACGCGGACCAAGTCGCGGGGAAAAGCTAGTTTAGATATAAAAAATAATTAGAGGAAGTTCTTGTAAAGGCCAATGTGTTATTTGTAGAGTTTGTTTTGACTTAGGAAAGAAAAATTAAATTATTGAAAATTGTTTCTTAGAAATATAACATTTTTATGTAATGGCGGCCCTTGCTTATCATTGCGCCATTGTGAACGAGCTCACTTTTTGGTCGTTTATAAAGTAAATAGAATAATTCAGTTAATGGACGATGTCCGTTATAATCAAAGACACTAAATTGGTCGTGATAGAAACAATAATAAATTACAAACAGACAATAATAAATGCTTAAAGTAGCTATATGTTACAATTATTAAGTAATATGATTATAAGTACTATAAGTAATATGTTTTTTTATAAAATAATTAACAATAATCTCGTAATTCTTTATTTTCTTCGACGACATCATAGGACGAATGGTTCACAGTATTGTCATCTATAAGTTCCTGGCTTCGATTCCCGGCGTAATCAATGTAGAAATACATTTTTTCGTAATTGTCTCGTGTTGTCTCGATATGTGGCAAATTCGTTGATGCACATTTACTTAAATAAACGATTTATAAAATAAATACATGACAAAATTTACTTAAAAGTAAAACTAAAAAGAAGAAACGTTACAAGCCAGTAGTTTGAGTAGAACGACTCGTAGTCGGGGCCCCTTGGGAAGATTTGATTGGTAAAATTTGAATGGGCCCTAACTGTGAGTCGTTCTGTTCTGTATTACTTAACAGAATTCTAAACTACTGGGCTTGTTTCTCTCCTTTTTTAGTTTTACTTTTAAGTTAATTTTATCATGTATTTTTTAAAATTCGTTTTTATGCAGTCGGGTTTTTTGTTTTTCTTTAAATTATTTATTTTTATTTTATACCTTTTAGTTACGATTCGTTGACTTCGTTATAAGTTGATAAATTACGCAATCAAGTTATTTCATTGAGAGAGTTTATATCGTGGGGATTATTAAGTAACTTGCGGTGGTCTAAACTACTGATGATTAGTCCCTCTAGAGACCTAACTCAGCTTAAAGCTACATAAATGCTTTATTTTTTTTTTACAAAAATATTTGCCGTTTATGCTCTTTTCACTGTTTTTTTGTTTGTGTATCGTTTATACTTTAAATAAAAACTTAAATGAATATGCAAGAAACTCTGCGAGAATGATTGTTTTTTTAAACAATTTTAAATCGTTATATATCCTAAACTATTATTTAAAATGAAAAATGATAAAAAGAATCTAAAGATGATTTTAAAATACCTATTCAACGACACCCCACTTGATATAGTTCATCGATTTTTTTTTTCATTTGACAATATGGCGTCTGGTTGTTGCTGTGGTGACTTTTGATTACTGTCATGTCTTTAGTGACACTCGCAAGGTTAAGACAAATCGATTGACGTAAGAAGCATCAAAATCGGCCTACGCATATGGTCTCTAGAACGCCACATAGACATAAACATACATACATACATAGACTGATAAACACATTACCCTCCTTTGCGTCGCGCAGTCGGGTAAAAATTGGGATCTGAGTAATTTCAGTCTTTGATATTAGTAGTTAATTACAATTGCCTGTGTACATTTTTGATTTTCAATCAATTTATTTTTAAAATAACAATTAAGCTATTATTACAACGCCAAGGACATTTACTAACTACAAATTAAACAAACTTGTTTCCTTATTTTTTTTATTAGTATTTACTTAATAAATAAACAATAGTTTACTGAATTTGCAGCACATGGGTGTATTGATTAGAAGCCTTTTTGTTTGTAAGCGCGTCACAGCCGACCGCGTCGCAGTCTTCCGCCTCTCGACAATGGCTCGCAATAACATGCTGTTAATGTTGTGATTACTATTTGTCATTAGAACTGTCATTTATTCCGATGAATTCGTTTATAGGAATCACAAAAAATTATGTACTTCTCTCTGGCATCTTATCTATCGATGAGTCGTGTGTCTTGTGTAACACGTTAGTTTAAATTTCCGGGTTCGATTATCTTTCGCTTGGTTTCTTTTCAATTTATCTATATAATTTATACTAATATTTTAAAGAAGAAGAAAGATTTGTTTGATTGAAAAGGCTCAGAAACTAGTGAATCGATTTTCAAAATTGTTTCACCTACAGGAAGTTATACGCGTGTGACATTCAAAGCCATACTTTTATTATAAATGAGAATGTAACTCTGTGTGGGTGTCTATTACGTTTTCACACTCCTAAACTACTGAATAAATTTTAATAAACTTTGGTTATAGATAAAGTGGATATTGGGAAAGGACATAGATTTTTTTTTTCATAAAAATAGGCTTAAAGGCGTTGGATAACCGAATGCTAGTCGTGCGAAGTCGCGGGTAACAGTTAGTGATAGACAAACGTTTATTCGACAACGACACACGTTACATCCACAAAATTATACAGCGTACAAATAAAATAAAAAAAACATAATACATAATGCCAACATAACACCATGTAGCTGTGTGTTACGTCAAGTTAAGAAAAGGGTGAAGATTCCAGTGGTCTTATATTTATATTTAACTTACGTAAAGTTCTAGAACTTGCGGTCGCCATTTTACTATTCGTTATGCTAAAACAGATTTCGACACAATTATTATTAGGTATTATTGCTGTTATGCAGGACCGTTCCACGGTCACCTGTGCGCATGACCGGCCGTAGATAATGCCTCTTCCGCCGGAAGTCACAATCGTCGCCATTTTGATCTCGCTCGACATTGTGCGTCCGCGCATACCGTGCCTAATCGATGTGACAATCAATACAATGCAGTCGGTTCATCTGTTAGATGAATATTCTAATTTGTTTACTGAACTCACATTCAAGGTCTGACTGTATTCGGCATTTCGACTCATATTGTGCTCTAAAAAGAATAAAATTAGTCTGGTTTATAATGTTATTCTATGGGTTTGAATTCTACCTATAATTATTTCTAAATTATAAGGAAGAAACCAAAAATATAGGTTTTTGAAGGACACGCTATATTCTTCTTCTACTTCTCTGGTATTAAAAGTTTGAAATTTTCAGTAGTAGTAGTAGTATGATGGAAAAAATGCAATAATTCAATACGGAGCTATAAATCCTTTTGAATGGTAGAACAAAAGTAATTTTGAAGATAAATGACATCTGATATATTCATTAGTGTGGCAAACATGGGATCCGCAGCTTCAGCGGTGGGTGAAGTGCCTGGAGCTGAGCTTCGGCTCCCCACCACTGGTCTAAAGTTCACTGTCAACCAGCTCAGGAGTCTCAATTCGTACGTAGACTCGCTCTACGATGAAGACCAAAAAGGTATTTCTATATTTTCTAACCAAGAATATGAAATTAATAAAATTAATAATGAAGCATTATTTGAAAATACACTTACGTAGGATCTATATAAATCCAAATAGTAAACGATGAATGTAATTCTTTTAAAGTGTATTCATCTCCATTTTTCATAAAACACAAGAACACTTGGTTATTTTTCATTTGCCTATTGTTCATATGTAATAATTTTAACATGCTATTTTATGCGCTTCGATTCTTTCAATGACAATGGAAAATAATACAATACGTTTTGTCCAAAGTTTCTATTATTGATAGCCTGTTGATAGTACCCTATTTATTTCACAATAATCCTTTACTTTGTCTGTAAAAGTTAAATAATTGGTCAGGTCGTATGAGTACGGAAGTAGAAAGCGCCATAGAGAGCTTGGTACAACGCATCGTTGATGGTGCTGGTCAGCGGGATCCCCGCTTTAGGTGCAGTCACATTATCGCATTGCACCGTGGGAAGAAGGTATGTCTCAGACAGGGGTATAACTAACCGCCATATCTATGATACATGGACCCCGTGCGTAACAAAAAAAATACCCTTCACTTAGGCCCCCTACTATATTTTGATACAAAGCCCATCCAAGGCACGCAGTCTCCGATAAATATAAATTAAATGCTTGTTTGTAACATTTAGCTTAAGGTTAATTATCAAGAAGTGGTTGCTAAGTCTATTGGCCCATTTACACTGGTCGTGATGGTGATGCAATAGTGGGGGATTCAAGCGATTTCTTGTGATTAGCTTGGCCGGCATTATTTTACTGATCGAAAAGATGAGCAAGAAGTGGTCACTCGTGCTTGCTTGGGGACTTCGTCAATATATAAATAATATATCATAAGGGGCTGCCAATCATACACTGGTTGTTGGTAAGAACGCCAAAGGTGGAGTCGATTTGGGGGCGTACATTTATCGTTATGATACCAGTGATAGCGATGCCGTTGTAGTGTTGTAGATATTTTACAGCAAAAGAAGTTTATGCTAGGTACATAATGTATAGCCTCAAGTTTCTATTGATGAAAAGTACATAGAAATTATGTTTACCTACTATAGACACTGAATTGATTGCTACAAACTGGTGAGCAGCATGTCTTGTTGTTAACGTTTCTATAAGCCAGGGCAAAGATTACTAGCTAGTTAATACAACATGAATGTGTACAAGATATTTTAGAGTTCTAAAAAAGCGAATACGTATGAGATCTAATAAAGCTTACAGCAAAAATAATGCAGTAGATAAGTTATTCAAAGTCTTATGTGATGGATTTGTTCCGTAGATGCGGTCGCGTTCACTGGAGTATCTTGTAACCTTGGACTCCCTACCAATACTCAACAGTGGTGAAAACTGCCGGCTGCAGGATGGTCCGACCGGGTACGGCAAGATCCGTCTCACTGGTCGGGACGCAGACAAGTGGGAGGAGTTCCTGACACCTTCCGGATATTTGTGTCGGTGAGTGTGTGTTGAGGAGTTCTAATCATAATAGGTCGGTTTACATTGCTCAGGTGATGGTAACCAGCATTTCAAAAACACTAATAACAATACTTTATAGAATTTATGAAAATGATATGGACGTATAACGTAAATATCTAATAGAAATTTAAAACCTGAACCTTCTTTTCGGCGGTAAAATATAAAACAAAAAGAAATTATAGGAATCCATAATTATTTTAGGATAAAAGTTTTGAAGTTATTTAAGAAAATTTTTACTACTTCTCTACCTTGTTTGCAAAATATCTAATTATTAAAAATATGCAGAAACACTTAAGAGTAGTTGAAGTATAGATTTCAAAATGTAGGGAAAATTAGGATTCAAGTATTAAGTTTTGATTTTGGACTTGTTGCTACTTTTATCGCAGAGACAAGGTGGTAGAGAGATGGGTGGAGTTGATAGCTCGTTGTGCCACGGCTCGTGGCGCGGGAGGGGTTCGAGTGTTGTGCGCTAGAGCCGCCGCTCGCGCACAACCTTACCAGTACTGCTACCTACAAAGAGGTCAGTTTGTTAATTAATAAAACAAGCTTTAAATTTACTTATTTTAATAAGTGAGGGTTGGTTACGTTAGTCTTTTCACATTCATAATAACTCCTACGTTTCTATAATTTTCACGAGATATCCCTTATGGAATAGTCAGAGAGGATCGACCATCACAATGCACGGATAGATACTCGTGCATCTTTCGTTTTCTCTTATTTCATTATTCTTTTTGTAGGTACATTTGTACTCACCGGTTTTTATGATATTTCAGCTATTCTATGAAAATGAAAGAGTTTTTTGATTAGAAAGTAAACTAAAATAAATGCCTTGATTTTTTTAAAGTGTATACTTAATATCGCATTGTCATTTTAGTATTAATGCATGACATATTACAGATCAATCGAAAACTTGGAAATTTAGCTATCAAATTATGATCCACACTACAAGTTAAATTATTGATTTTAGGAGTTGATTTAAAAAGTCATAATATAACTATTACCTATTACGTTACGATTCAATTACTCGTCCCAATTAACGCTTGCTTATGTCGATAGGAATAAGACGACGGAGATAAAATGTAAACTGTGAATAATCTAGATATTTTGATCTGGTTTTTCGGTAGAAAAGTATAATATTTAGACGTAATTTTTGAAACGTGAAAAAATCCCGCAGCGTCACCTGTCCAGGTGAGCAGCGAAGGCCGGCTGGCTATAGTGGAGGGCGCGGCGTGGGTGATGGTGCGCGCGGGCGGCGGGCGCGCGGACGCCAAGCTGGTGCTGGGCGCGCGCGCGCGGGGCTGCAGCCGCGCCGCGTACGTGCCGCAGGTGCCGCTCACGCATCCGCTCGCGCTGCTGCATTACACTTCTCAGGAAGTTAGTCATCTTTTGTTGGATGGGTTTAGTAGTGGTTGTGCGCCGCGGCTCGCTATCGTTTTTATTAAACAACTTTCGCAAGGGTCAGTCACGGGATGGGTGACCAAAAAATTGTTATCTTGCTTCGAAAGGCATCATTATCGAATTGTTATCGTGATTGTTAAGCCGTTGGTTGCATCTGTTAGATGCGTTTAGCTCGGTGGCGCAATGGATATGCGCTGCTATTATTGTTATTAAACAACTTTCACGGGATGGGTGACCAAAAAATTATTATCGTGCTTGGAAAGGCATGTTAAGCCGTTGGCTCCAGCTGCGTTTGCCATTAATACCCTCTAATCCGCGATAACGATGATAGTAGTGATGTGCCCGATATTCGTTTGGTATTCAGTATTCGGTATCCTTTTCATTATTTGTATTCGGCCGAAATATTCGGTTTTGGTGCTGAATATAGGTATACAGTTCAGGTATAACATGATATATATATAATATCTATAGATATTGATAGTCCAAATGAAGAATGTGCTCAATAAAGCAATTGTATAAATATTTATTATATAAAAATATTTTTTCGCTATTCACACGCTATACAGGAATAATTTAAAACCACTGCGAAGATTTTGTGAAAATAAACTTTAAGTAATTTAAATAAACACGTATTTTTTATTTTGATATGTTCTAATACTAAAAAATAAAGTTATCGCTTATCAAAGATCGAGATTTTAAAACTTCATTTATGGACACCGCGCGCCGTGCGTCAGCTGAGCGCTCGCTCGACGCCGCCGTAGGCATGTACTCGTAGGTACCTATCTACACGGGTCACTGAACGCTCATTTTGTTAGATTCGAACTAGATTTTATGCCATGATCTGAGGTGTTTTCTAAGAGTAATTCCAATTTTCCCTTCATACTTTTATGGTTAAGGCCATCAAAATGCAAAAAAATAAAAGAGAAACAAATTCGTTACCTAGAAAAAAATATTAACGTTATGCCGAAGTTACATAGGTACTTCTGCGTTAAAGCGTATTTAAAAAAATTAGAATCAACTACGTATTTACAATAATGTTGAATCAAAACAAATACCTAACTAATTACTTACCATGTATTTTAATATTTGTTCAAAATGAAGTCCACGTCTGTCCAGACATAAACGTGCACATTTCATTAAATTGTCATTTAATTTGTTTAAAACACTAGTGTCACTTTTTACTTCACTGAAAGCGTTATTATTTTTTATTGTTGTCTTCTAGACTTTTGCCTCCTCTACATCTCGGCGTTTGACTTCTTCCCATAAGAAACAGTCCCTCACTTGTGAACAATGCCTCATCCGTCTACAAGATGTTACATCGCGGTGATGTAGAAGCCACTCACATAAGGCTCGACGTGGTATTGGGTCTAGGTCATGGAACTGCTGAACCGGCTGAAAGTGGTACGGATGGAGTCCGGCTGTTTTTAGCAGCTTCAATACCGCAGGCTGGCTCACACCAAAGAGATATGCCGCATCGTGGGTACTGACTCTGGGACTTCGTCTGTTAAAATGGTTCGAAGCATTAGGGACCGCGGGGTTATGGATCCCAAAGGCCCGCATACGAGGTATGCTCTTCGTCGCATACTTTCTCCGAATTGCGCTTATGTAGGTTCTCACCACTCAAAAGATAAACTCGTACATCTCGTAAAACTCACGACGGCGGGCGCGTCGCGTGCGCGGGAACGCGAGAACACGTCACATCGGCGCGTGCGTATGAGTCTCACTGTCGAGCGCGTCGCTCGGTCCCGGCGGGGCGGTGGGGGCTGTGGCGGGGGGCTACCGGACGCGGCGGGGTTGCACGGTGGCATACGCAAGAGAAGACGTTTTCATTGAAGTTTTATTTTAAAAAATGTGTCCATATTCTACCGTTTCGATAGGGATAAAAATATTTAAAAAAAATTTTTTAACTAATTATGGAAAAGTGTTCTATTACTGATACTGAACCACCAAAAAAAATTTTTGCACTGGATAAAAAATATTCCTGTATAACAGGGAGCATTTACAAACACTGGTATGGTAAACCGAATAATTCGAGCGAATATTCGGTTCGGTAAAGGTTGAACTAAATACTATTCGGTATTCGGCGCTCTCTAATTTATAGGTATGTATATAAAATTACTTTTCTTCATTATCGTCTCCTCTTTACATGTTTCAGAGTTATTACGCAGTAGCGGTAGGTCCACCTACTTCTGTGGTTTGTGCTGACAGATCTTCCACCTGGCAACTATGGGATCCTTATTTGGAGGCGGCTCTAGATGCTCATCTATCTGACCTGTCAACTGTGGCCAGAGTGGCTGGAGCTCTAAATGCCCTCGTCGATAAGATGCGGGAGGGTTCATATCAGGTTAGTTATTACATAAATCTGTATATAAAGTAAACATTACAGACAATTAAGAAAAAAAAAAAAGAGTGGAGCCATTTTATAACAAATCTTATGTTTAAGTGACAATTTGCAGTACATTTCATTCTTTGAGCTTAACATTATTTTCCACTTGTCACGTAGGGTACTCTTCGTATGGTTAGTCGGTATATGACTAGTTGTAGTCTTCGGCGTCGGCTGGATCGATGCGCTACTCTTCAAAATACATACAGCAGAGCGTTCGTATCAGCACACGCTTCACATCACATGCTGCTCATATTGGACGAGTGAGTGTTAGGGTTTCTCAATAATGTTCCTGATATTTTAAAACTTTAAATCCACGATTGTGGATTCGGCGAATGTCTCCATTTATCAAAGTCAAAATAATCTTTATTCAAATAGACTTCTTAAAAGTACAATGGACTCGTCTAAGATTTTTCCCCTACAACTCGTAGCGTAGAGCGTCTTTTGGCTGATAAGAAGAACGGCCAAGAAACTCACCAGCTCTTACGGTAGTAATGACATTACAATATCCATGTCATTACCAGATTAACACATTTGAGTATATGATTACAGTTTTAATATATTTATAAATTGATTTAGTAAAACATTAAAGGTTATTTAGGAAGGAAAGAGGGGAGATGATAGTGAATGACACATTTTGTATGTCAGGTTAGTGTGTATATGTGAGCGGGGCGGCGTGGCGGGGTACGTGTGGGGGTGGGGGCGGGGCGCGGGCGTGCGGCGCGGGGGCCGCGGGGGGCGGGGGGCCGACTGGCAGCAGGACGCCGTCTGTCTGCGCGCCTGTCTGCACACGATACATCAAATGGCCAGTTGGTATACCTTCTGTAAAAGATCAGATACCCTTTGTAATTTCTGCCCGATCTTGCTTTTTAATAACAAGATAGACTCGGTGGCGTAGTGGATAAGCGCCATGGCCCACGATCGTTGTCGTTAAGCAATTTTCGCAAGGCACGGTCACGGGATTGATGACCAAAACTTATTATCTCTAGCTTCTCCGTGCTTCGGAAGACACGTTAAGCCGTTGGTCCCGGCTGCATTTGCAGTCGATGGCCCATCCTCCTTAAGCACCCAAAAGGAAGGCCTGAGCCCCTGCAGTGGGGCGTAATATGGCTGATGATGAATAACAAAATAATGATGGCTGCAGGAAGTAGTTCGCCTTTTGATAGCTCTTAGTAATATTGGACTGCAATAATAGCACCATGATTAATGAAAATTAATTAATCATAGAAATGGCATTAATGTAAAGCGTAATTTTTGCACGTTATTTGTTTTGAGAAAAAAAATATTTATTTTTAATTTCGATAGGTACACCGTTCACATTTGTCCAGGAATGATTGTGTTTTTTGTCAAATCGACGATTCTATAATATGTTTTATATACATAGGTAACGATGAGGTACCCCCGACTCCGGCGGAATCGTTAGAAATAATATTATTTGACCGCTGGGAGAATCTCAACAAGGAGTACAAAGGTTCAGGTCCGACATATTCTCGAAGACAACTGCGGTATCTGTGGAGGGTGGCCGACGCACTGGTCAGGTGCAAAAACATGATCGTATGCGTAAGTTGAATATTAAACCCTATGACTAACCAAAAGTTATTGACCGAGAACTTGAAAAGGAGATCCAAAGTTTCGCGTTCACAACATTTGTTCATTATATCAATGTTTGAGTATCAATTGGGCAAAGGAAAATCGAGTACAGATTGTATTATGTTTTAGATTTTTATGAAGCATACAACAAAGTTTATTGTTTCTTCATATCTCATTTTAGGTAATCTCAAACTAATCCAAAGATCACTCCTGTGATAATTGAAATCGTAATTCATTCTAATTCTACCTAAATAGAATCGATGCATGGCTTTGACTCTGTTCCATTTCAGGATACCTCAGGCTTACCTTAGGGCTTAAACCTAGGACCCTTGTTGTTTCTATGATTAAGAAATCAAACGTTAAAAAGTGCATGACATTTGCTTGCTGTATTTGTACTAGCTATAATTTTAGAAGAAAAATAATTTTATGTTTACGTTCAGGACAACCATAGCAATTTTCGAGCCAACCTCATCCAGGTTACTGCTCAAGGAGATGACGCCATTGAAGAGTTGATCCACATCTTGGCCATTATGTTGGATCAGGCTCGAGATCTTTATACAAACAACTTTCAACGACATACCGTAGGAGAGCTAGATAAAGAATTATCTTCATACAGGTATATACTTATTGAGGTTCTCTAGAACGTGTAACAGAAATAATGCACATCCTTATACACGCCATTTGGAAAATTCATTTATAATCATAAAACGAAAATTGGTATATAACTTTTATGTACTAAAACATTGTTTATGTTTGGACACTATTATACTAATTGCTGGGTATTAGTGTGGACATCTTACAAATCCACTCAATTACTTCAACATTACGGCTTAGCCTGCAACTACAAATGTATGTACATACAATGCAATACCATAATGAAACCACCTACCAAAAAATATCTCGACATGAAATATTATTCTGTTTCGAGTGTTTTTTAAGTAAAGACAATAATTATGATTTTTACTTGTTATGAGTATTGGTTACAATAATCTCTAGATCACATATCACATGGCGCGCACAGTATCACCACATTGTGCCTAATCCTTAAGCATTTCGATGTATTTACTGTATGTACGTTAGTATAACGAAAAATCATCGCATGTGAAATTGAAAATTCGGTAAACTGAAATTGCGATAAAAGTCATAAAAGAATCATCCACCGCCACTGTATTGTTTTTCTGTGGTTTTTCTCATTATGTACGATTTATTTTACTCTTTGGTTTATGAACTTGTGCATCATAGCCTTTAAAAGCATTTTAGACTTAAGACACATTAAAAGAAAGCTGAGTTGTATTTCATTACAAGCTAAAATTTATAAAATATTTAATATTTGCACTGTGCATTTTAAAAAGTGTTATTACATTCACTTAATGGTTACAGTTGACTATAATTTACAAATTTGGAAAAAAATACGTATATTAAAAGTTGTTGAAATCGAATCATTATCTGATTTTAAACAAACTTCTTTCATGATGCATGTTAATTATGTTATACGTTGTATAATTACTAGATTTTTATTTAATGATATTGTATTGAATTTATAATTTCATTCAATTTTGAACAGATCTAAGAAGTGGAATAAGCTAAAAGAATACTATGATGCTTCCTCCGCCTGTCTCATAGACGCAGTTAGAAGGGATCCTGATCTCCGACGGGAAGATTTGAAAGACCCAACGAACATCATGAAAAATATCCTCCAGTGGCTTCATAAAGGGGCGAAAGATGACAAGAAATATCTAGGGCCCGTACTGAAGCCATATATGGACGGTCTTTTTAAATGCTCTTTGGAGAATGCTTGGTTTCTAGAAGATTTCGATTCGAATAATGGTGGACAGGAATATGACGGATTGATCGAGTATTGTGCTGGTGTTCACGATGGTAAACTGGAGCCGTGCATGGGTCTTTTGGATGCTGCGAAGAAACTAACTTGGGCGAAAGCCTTAGTTGACTTCGTGGACAGATACAGACACATTGGTGAGTCATTCATTACAAAATTATGTTTTGAGCGTTTTGTTATCATTCCGACGAACCAAATTAGTATTTCATGCGTGTAACATACGAACTTTTGCTGACTGCAACAATATTGATTTCGTTCCTCTCATTTTCGGTCGTCTTAGATTTTGAGGTTATTTCTTATTAACAGATAACAAAACTAAATGAACTTTCTGACGGAAAGAAAACTAGGCATACAATTGAATGGCGCCATTTAACTAAATGGCTAGCCAATTGATGCTGATTTACGACATATATATTATAAATCTATTTGTGTTTCCTAGATTAAATAAAAAATTTACTAAATAAAAAGATGCAGGTATTCAGACGAAGTAAAGTTATGTTAGAAATGGTTTTATTTACATAAAGTTAATGGAGTATCCATTATCTAAGGGCATAATTTATTGATGGGATAAAAATTTTAATGGTTGCTTGTCTGGATGTCAATAATATCTATACTAATACTATAAAGAGGAAAGGGTTACTTTCATTGATAATGCTCCAAGAGTATTGAGCTGATTTTAATAATTCATAGGCTGTTTGCATAGGCTACAATTTATGCAAACGAAGTTTTCATTTAGTTGTTCTGTCAAAATAATAATTAGATAAACTAATAAATAAAATGTAATAAATTTGTAACAAGGGAGAAAAGAAACCACTAAGTACAAGTGACGACAGCAGAGAGAGTTTGAGTTGCCAGATTATAATCATAAGTTTTAGAAAAAAATATTGACATCTAAAAACCAAGCGGAAGAGGTCTGTTTGTCAATAATTTTATCTAGTTGTGTTGTTTTAACGAAAGAATGAATAGTTTTGTGAAAGATAGTGGTAACTTAGAATAAAAATGATACTTAAATACAAATGTAAATTGTAATGGATATGCTTAGCATGCTACTTATGAAGCTTGAATAGGTTTTCAATTTGGGTCGGAATGGATGTAACGTAATCGTTATTTAGGATTTTCATAACACAGGGACTTTAGCCATTTAACTTGTGATTTGAGCAATATATTAGATCCTTACATATGAAATTGGCGTTTTTTCGTACTGGCCACTTTAATCACAAATTTCTTTTTCTTGGTTGGGAATTCCAAATTCAAATCTATACAGCCATTTTCACATGTATTTGTGTTTCGTTAGGCGGCATTCATTTGGGTTTTTCTTCTGTTTGTCCTATTTACGTCACCCTATATAAAAATCAGATGCAGTGCGAATCGCCTTCACAGATTTCATTGATTCCCGTCCGAATGGTTTTTTTAGTAAAGGGATCAATGAACCTATGAGATGGTAAAGGTGCATATATAACAATGGTTTATACTTTGATTAAATAAACATTTTTTTTTTTAATATTAGACATTTTGTTCCTTCCGTACCAAACACCAATTTCATATGTAAAGACCTAATATTTGATGTTATCAAATAATACTTTGTTATTGTCAAACGTTTGAAACAAGATAGCGACGAGGTATAGAAAACCAACCTGAATTAGTTCCTGATCGATTGTGATTGAGTTAGAGGAACTTCTAGTAGAACGTGGAAAGTTAGTGTGATTGGAGCTTAACGTGTCGTCCCACTATCTCTTAGATATTAAGTTTTGATTCAATCCAGGTTGACGATAGTTCGTGATTGGATTGTGCTCAGACAGACCAAACTACCGAACTATTATCCAACCGCTGAATGAACTTTTATACAATGAGATGATTTCATCACATTTATAAATTAAAATTATACAAAGATTTATTAAATATTGATGTGGTTTGGATTGTTGTAATTGTTTTGTATGATCACAACCGAAAGAAAAACAGATTTTTGTAACATATCATACATAGAAAATTAACTTATAACACTTGCATTTTAAAGGAAATTTTAAATGTTCGTTTAATTAATAAATTAGTTCGTTTAACCCAGAAATCAGGTGTAATTAAAGAATACAAAGATGGTATAATTCTATCTTTTTCTAATTGACATTATAAATTTTCATATGTTAATTAGTCATTGGTTTTTTCCTTCAGGTAAGGTTTAATTAAATTTCATAGCATTGTGTTATGGCAAAAAAATCTACAGAGTCCTATTGCAGTTTCAGGGTAAACAAATGGTGGTAGTAGATCTAGTATTGAGAAGGTCCTCACAAAACTTGGCATACAGCGATGTTTCACAAACAAACACGGAAACCCAAAAAGTTTGTTTTCCAGTTTTGTGTTTGCTTAGTTTCAGTTTCCAGTTGTGGCATCGTTCCAAACTAAACAATATTGAAATACAAAGTTTTCGAATATAATTAAAATACTTTGATGTTTTCAAATATCAAAATCATTTATATACATCTGAAATCGATTTGAATTTAACGATCAACAGATGAAGCTAAAAAGCGATTTACATTTATTAAATTAAATAATCTTAAAAATATATTTGACTTATTCATTTCCCCTGGATACCGTAATCTACCAGCAGTTCCAAATTTGGGAATCTTGTCTGATAAGAACTGGCGAAACAAACTCCGACGAGAAAAGTGAATAGCTTACGCCAGCGGCTTCATCCGTGTGGTCCCTAGGGAAATGTTTAGTGGCATAAAAAGTATTATTATCTAAGCCAGATAATACCCTATTTGTATACCAAATTTCATCAAAATCCGTTCAGTAGTTTCGGCGGATTGACGGACAAACATCCAAATATCCAAACCAAGAAACTTTCACATTTATAATATTATATAATGTAATGTTCAAGGCAATAATTGTTTTGCTGTGAATAAATTCATTGAAACCTATCCTGTAACCGACTCTTGCGGAATTTCCGCTTCACAAATCGACCGCATTAACCATAAATACCTTTTAGAATATCGAATAGTTTTAGGTTGCAATTTGGAATTTTTCTTCTTAAAGAAACTTTCCTTTCAATGTCCAATATTTTCCCATAGATTTCCCGACAGTCTGTGGTAATGATATAAGTTGTGAAGATAGCAATGATCGATTTCCGTTTACAGATAGTCTAGAGCAATTATCGTCCCTTACCCTTTCCTCTCTTGGGAGCTATTTTGTAGAATTTCTTTCCGTTTGCTGTCCCTTTCAATGACATCATTTTACGACATTACTTTGTTACATTTGTATAGAGTGTTTTTTTACTGTGAAGAAAGTTTAATTTGTTTTCGTTTTTATTTCTTTACTTGATGGTGTTTAGAATGGTTTAGTTCGAGCTTAGTTATAGCTAACTAGTGGCCGCCAGCGACTTCGAACTCGTTTTCCATTATTTCTTCTCTCCTAATAGTTGCAGCGTGATGTTATATAGCCTAAAGCCTTCCTCGATAAATGGTCTGTTCAACACAAAAATATTTTTTCAATTCGAACCAGTAGTTCCTGAGATTAGCGCGTTCAAACAAACTAACAAACTCTTCAGCTTTATAATATTAGCATAGATTAAGTAAGAACTAAACTAGGCAATTCAAATTAAAATTCAAAGAAACATAGTATAAGCCAAATATCATCAATAGTAGATTAAAAACAATTAAAATTACCCGACGAACATCGTGTCGTCTTTGAATATGTTTACATCACGAAAATATATGAGCACTTTATGATATATAAATATTAAAAAATTATTACAAATTTTTGATAATGAATTAATACGTAAGAATTGCAGCGTGCAAGGCATATGTAAATATTGCCTCTTGTGGCTAGACATATAACAATAAAGTTCCATGAAAGTCACTTTTAGCACTTTAATCTGTCACTAAGTGGCATGGCAAGACGAATGATATGAAAATCTGTATATACCATTCGAATGTACTATGTAATTAATAATTATTTGCAATTCAATGTCTAAGAAGAATCCGAGTGGTTAGAGTAAAATTAAATAATCATACATCATTGTTTTAGACTTTCGTCTGGTCTTCCCTACCGGTGACGGTATGGCCATTTCGTTTCCCGTGAAACTACCGTCGAGGCGCGAGCTCAGCTCAGCGCGCGCGCTAACTCTCAACCGTCGCGATAAAGCTGAGGCTAAGATGAGGCTGGCGAGGCGATGCGTGTTGGGGGCATTCACTGCAGCCTTGATCGGAGACAAGCGGTGAGTACTTATCATGTACTAAATACATAGCGAGTACAATGCCTCGTCTAGGAAATCAATTTTAAAATTGAGGCTGACCGCCATTTAAAGCGGCATTATCGGGTGCCATCAGATTAGCTATTAATATTTTAGGAAATGGCATCTTTCATTAAAACCATTTATTTATTTGTATACAGACACACAAAAAGATTACAGTCATAAAAAGTAAATACATATTTGACTATTTAATTTTTAATTCTAGACTAAAATCCAGAAAAATGTGTACACAACATGGTATTAGTTGTCTCATAAATTAATAAAAATTGTTATATATATTTCATCAGCTGTAAAAACATCTATACTTAATTTTAAAGTATCCTGTATACAGTTTTCCCAGCTTGGCGATGATCGGTTTCATATATTCATACGGGAGTGGTTATATTTACCCCGTTCTGTGTGTCTAGAAAATTATGAAAAGTAAGTACCTACGCGAACCAGTTATAACCGATTATCATAAAATATTCGTATAATGGTGATCATCCACTACGTCCGCACGCACGTAACGGCGCACGTACGTAACTGATTTTGCATTTGTTTATATGAATCTGTATAGCACTCTGTCCACTATCCGTACCGGCCGCACCGACCGCACGCGTTATATGAGCAAAGAAAAAGACGTAATACGGATTACTTATATCTATTAAAGGTACTTCTATTCAAAATCCGAATGCTATGGACGTATCCGTTGGGGAATCCGTTGCGTACCGTGCGGCCGATGCGTACGTGCGGTCACATTGGACAGTCACCCTTAAATATTCTATAATAATTCCATGGAAATTATTAGAAAGTAATTTTTTGGAGATTGTCGGATAGTGATTAATTGTGTAACGGCGGACATTTTCTAATTAGGGTACACTGTGATAATTATTCATCGACCGAAGGTTCGGGTCGAGAGTTTCGTTGGGCTTACGCTTTTGTAGTCACGTAAAGGTATTATTACGGTGGTATTCATTACCTATGCTTTAAGTTAAGGTTGCAATATATTATTTATTTTGGTATCAAACAGTCATTTACTTAACAAATTGTGTATGATTAAATGTGCTTTAAATAACAAACCAATAGTACCCAATTTTTTTTTTAAATTAAATAAATATAAGAATGTACATGATAAGACACGCATAAATATAAAACAAAATCGTTTGGCAAAAGAATGATTTTGTATAATAATTATATATATACTCGTAAACTTAGCAAATTATCTAATAACATGGTATGTCTTTTAACTTTCTCTTCAATACATTAATTATATAAACAATACAATTGTAATTGCTGGATAGCCGTAATTGGCCTTTAGATTTTAATTAAAAATTGTAATATTAGTTTGTACTGAGCTGTGTACTATCCCTTCAAATAAATATTATCCATATTATAGCATGTACATTTTGTTACGTACTATGTCCATGGCAACTCAAGTCAGGAGTTACGTTCTATGGCAAGAGATTTCAGGTATTGTCTATACTTAATAATGGCTGTCTGTCCTGTTAGATTACATAAGAATTGCAACGTAAATTGTAAAGCTTGATTAATTAATAAAAAGAATAACGTGCATTACTGATTGTAATTATTCAATTCACCTACGCAATAGTTTTAGTGTTTACAAACACAACACATTTAATTAGTTGCATTTTTTCGTGAAAATTGATGGCATTTGCTTAATAATAGGCACAATATGTCGTTGTGCTCCCGATTGCATTTGTAGTGTATATAGAAAAAAGTAGTTTAAAAGATCTCAGTGTACAGATAACAGGAAGCAACTTTGCTTTATACTATGTAGAATATTTTCAAAGTTGAACGAGAAAACCACTGAATAAACGATGTCAAGTTCCTGAGCGAAGTTCAAAATGGAACTTTAAATTAAATGCAAATTAAGTGACATGAATAATATACCTATCTACATACTTCTAGTGTGAACAGGTAACTTAGTGAGATTATAGAAGCGATGTAGAAGCCGTTAGAGTGAGCCAGTGGTTCATACATGAAAATATTTTGAAGGTACCACAACACCCAGACCTTGGACAATATGAAAAGTCCGTATCGAACACGGGACCTCAGAGGTGGTCCACACCTTGAAACCGGCGTGTGAACTACTCGGCTACGGAGGTCGACATATAATACTCGTATATCCATGATTTTTTTATTTTCTATTGGATGTGTTAAATCTTATAGCAATGTGATTATTTAAGTAGGATATTGTACTATTATGCAATTAAAGGCTTCGTTCAGTGTAAAGTTTATGCTATAATGAATTCATTGATCACCAGCCTATTGTCCCTATTGCTTGAGATCAGGCATTCCCTATGGATGAAATCGAATCAAACCACATAGGGAGAATGACCTATGACCCACCGCGAGGGCTCAGTTAGGATTGGTGGGTTTTAACAACTGTAGATGCAGCCGGGACCAACGGCTTAATGTGTCTTCCGAAGCACGCAAAAGTTTCAGATAATAAATTTTTTGTCACCCATCCTATAACCAAGTAGTATATAACTAAGTAGCTCGGTGGCGCGGTCCGCGATTGTTGTTGTTAACCAACTTTCGCAAGGGTCGGTCACGGGATGGGTGTAATTATTATCTCGAGCTACTTCGTGCTACGGAAGGCACGTCCCCAATCCGCATTGGGCCAGCGTGGAGGGTCACGGCCCATCCTCCTTAACCTTCCACAAGGAAGGCCTGAGCCCCTGCAATGGGGACGTAAAAAGGGCTGATGATGATGATGATCCTATAACCGACCCTTGCGAAAGTTGCTTAACAACTGTATCGCAGATCGAGAGCGCTAATCACTGCGCCATCGAGCTCTTGTTAGTTATTATAACTAATGGAATATATTTACAAAGAATGCTCAGAATTTTCTACGATCCCTCACTTTCTTTTCATTTTATAGATAAATGTAACATCTAATGTCGATAGAAAACTAAAAGGTTGGTGAAACATAACCAGCCCCCGAGGGAGCGACAGGAAACGTGCAAGAAAGCCCCGAGACTATCGAACGTTAGCAATTCATAATATTTATGAATTCTGATGTGAATAAATAAATTACAAATATAAGTTTTTATTTGAATTCCTGTTAAATCTATATAATGGGGTGAAGTTTAATGGTGCAATGGTTAGTGCGGTATGTAAGAAGGAATTTAAGCATAACAAATTAATAGTACATATAGACATTTTGTAAAACAGAAAATGATGGGGAGAAGCTTAATGGTGTAGTTGTAAGTGCGGTCTGCAATGTGGAAGTTAACCAACATTCGGAGGTATCTTAAACTCTTCCGTGCTTCGGAGGGTACATTAAGCCGTCCCCTACAAGGTCCCGGCTGTCTTTAACACCCAACAAATTTACAGTTAGATACAGAACCCCATCAGTTGAGTGGGATATTAACTGGCAGGCGAGGATGATGTTAGGATTGGTATGCTTGTTAAAATAAAACTCATATTTAAATAAGTAATTAAAAACGTAATATACATGTCATCTTTTATGATATATAAAGCTTAGATTACATTGTTAAGACAATCATTCGCGATGGCTACAATCTGCGTTTACCAAGTATTATTCATATGTGTCTCAAAAATCCATATAACTATAGTTTCCGCTAGTAAATATTGAGATTTATCAATATCAATATTTGAAATGAGGAATTTTATAAATGAGACGATTTCTAGTCCGGTCAATTTAGCTTCAAAAATAGGGGTAAGGTTATATTAACGTGCACTATCAGATGAAACAACTTTTAAACGGTTTCATCGCGTCTGTATTTAGTTTTATTGACGTTTCGGACCCTTTACAGGTTCTGTGTTGACATACAACTAAGGTGTTGATTGTCTTTTTAAATAAAAGTATAATATAATACTATTGGACGCATTCACAATACATTTTTTATATATTTTATGCCATGGTTTACATTTATTAAATGAAATGAAATTATTTTGTATTTGGCTTTATCAGAAACGTCAATAAAACTAAATACAAGCGCGATGAAACCTTTTTAAAGTTATTTCATTTAAGTTTACATTGTTTCTAACAAAGTTGAAAATTGGCAATACTATTAAAAACAATTTGTCAATAGTCCCCAAACTTTAAATTTTTGCATCGCTATATCTTCGAAATAATAATTCTAAGGTAATAAGGGTAGAGGCAGTTTTATAGATAATCGAATAATGAATAATTTTTGTCTGAACAGTTTTTTCAATAAAACTTGCCGTTTAGCTGAAAAATGCAAAAAAAATAAGATTTTAGCATTATTGTTTTGCACATATCGGACAAAACAAATCGTCAAAAGTCCCCATCAATCCAACGTGTTCCCAATATCTGCAATAGATTTTGACCTCTACCTATAATTTATTACGGTTTAAAATCGAGTGGGGAAATTTATCATTCTTATATAGTCTGACGTGCTGTTGACTGTACATATTTAATTTATAGGACAATCCTTGGTGTATACTGATAAAGGAAAATTTAGTAGTATACTCAATAACCAACATAAAAGCCAAGTCGGTATAGCAATTGTAGGTAATGTGTGCTTCAACGAATTTTATTTTTATTGATGTTAGTTTCCAGATAAAAATCTTTTCTTTTTGTCTGAATATGTTTTATTTAGCCTGGATTCAGAAAAAAACATCCCACTGAAGAGCTATCTAATTTAATAAAGAAAGGAGTATTGGATAGACTACGTTGATGGACCGACAGTATTATAAGAAACCAGTCAATAGCAAGGCCGATTCATGTACCTAGGGTTCTGCACAAAAGTCTTAAGATAAAGAATTTTAGGCTCAATAGTTTCGGAGATGGGGAGAGTTAATTTTACACACCCATCCATTGATCAATGATTTACATAAGATCTACCTTCTTTAGATAAGCACATTGGAAAAATACTTGACACTTAATTTCTTCTTAAAAGTTTCTTTTTAAATAATCGAAATAGTTTTAATTGAAGGCAAAATTTAAGGCAAAATAATAGCCCATTGCTGTGACAATAAAAGCCAATTATAATGTCATAATTGAGCATTTTATTCCTATGAAGTCTCACTCCGTTAAAAAAGTCAATCTTTGTGATAATTTCATTACACAGACTCTAGTCAAAATTGGCAGATCACTTTCTTTGCTGACTGTACCGATATAATCAGTTTTAGTTTGCACGATGGACGGCCAGACGGATACAAGGATTCCATTTTTAATTTTTACAGAATACTAAAACTTGCTTGCTGTGTAAATCTTATGTTGTATCAGCTCGTGGGATGTAATAGAGGTTAAAGTATGAAATTGCCGATATGTACTGAAAATCAAAATTGTTTATTTTGTAATTTTTAACTAATTTTTTAAATCAAAAAAATAATTACAATTATTATCTATTAATTGCTGCCATCTAATACGGAGGTCGTTTATGACTTAGTGATAGAAATCTGACGATCTAGACTACACAAATTGTGTGAAAGCATTTTGTACTGCCTCCTGGGAAAATTTTTTTTGTCACGTAATTGAAAGTCGATATTCAAATGTTTCACATTTTTTAAAAGAAGAACATCATAGAAACCATGTGAAAAAAGTTTGGATAACCTAAAACCATGAAGATTCTATGTCAATTCAAGGAACCTATTACAATAAAACGGCAATTTCATACTTTAACCCTTAATATTTTTTGGTCGTCCCGCATCCGTCGGCAATATCAATCATTACGTGTTGTTCGCGCCGACTTTTTGCTTCCCGAATTTGACTTTTTTGATAGTTAAAAGAGTCGAAGAGTTCTTAAGAGGCTACTTACAGTAAATCAATAATATGAAAGTGATTGGGAGCGAACATGAAATAAAACATTATTAATTATGACAAAACTAGTTCATATTATAACGAGACAAGAGTGACTATTTAGTGCAATATGTCATGATTTGTTTCTATTTATCTTTTACACTGAAATCGCAGTTTTTGTCTCGTTCTTTTTTTACCTATAAACTTAATTGTCGTAGCTAGCTCGGCCATATCATTCGTTTAAAAAATGTAATAATATGTTTCGTACTAAATAATGGGTTTAAGGAGAGTTTAAATTTTTCTTGAACCGGTTGCATCTGCGGTCAATAGATACCGGTTCACGTCGGGCGTTGTGATTCACGGATAATTAGTTTCCCTTGTGATAATTACTTTCACGACGATGGCATGTACGTACACCAGCAGTGAGGATATTAATCGTTTGATGATGCTGTCTCATAGAGGAAAGTAACTAAACATGGAATAGTATTAGACCTATGCCTATAAGGAATATTTAATTTTTTTCCTAAATATTTTTTTTAGGAAAAAATTATAAACTTAGAAATAAGTCAAGAGTTTTGTTGAAAAGTTACTTTCCCTACTATGTAATAGGATATTATATATGGCCAACTGGTTAAAATAATCGTTCAATTGGCGGCTAGCTATTTAACAAAACGGCTGATTTAAAAACCTACAAGACCAAAATAAATTTGTTGTTTATTATTTTATGTTGTTATTTACTATTGTAGCATCGAATTTTGAAATCGTAATGAAAACATTAAAACGATTGCAGTCAATTAGATTGCTTACTCTCATTTCGATAGATGGCGATAAATTCATCGGTATTCTCGATGAATTGACATTTAATGAGTTGCCTTTTTTCGGCCTTATTGTAGATCTTTGCGATCAACTACTCGTCTGATTGAAATTCCATTAATGGCGTCATTTAATTAAAGGGCTAGCCGTCTAATTGGTCAGCTGATTATACAACTTGGCTGCGACATATAGTATAGGATAGATTTTTTTTTATATTACTCGTTACTTTCATCTACTTAGCATCTTTGAAAATTATTTTATACTTAGTAGTCATTATAAATATAAGTTTGAATATTTCGTAAAATAAGATTCTGCCTGATATGTCTGTATGTTGGATAAAATTTCACTGGTTATTCGGTACTTGTAAGTTATGTGCTTATTTAATCAAAGTTATAAACTTTCAAAATAATTCATAAACTTATTAAACTTTTGATACAAACCTCGGTGGTTTTTTCTTTATTAATCCAATTACAAGTTTTATCTTATTTTGTGATTTTTAGTCTTTGTTAGTTTATTACAAGCACATCCTAGCAATAATTAAATAAATAGTTTCATAATTATTAATGTGTGTGTTTGTTCGTTCAACTGTTTAATTGATCCATAAATAAGAAACCTAACACAGTTTTAGAAAACTTTTGTAAACAAAGCTTTTATCTAACTATGTATATGATACTTATCTATATTTTTTGCCTATCCTACAGGGGATCCAGTGTGGAGTTATATAATATATATAATAAAGCTAAAAAATAGCCATAATTATATCTTAAATTCACTTACACATTTCTAGAAATAAATCGAGATCACGCTTAAAACACTGTAATTGATACTTATGTCATCACATTTTCAGACAAAGCAAAGAATCGCAAAACATATAAAAATGTAAAAAAATTATTAATCAAACATTTTTACTGTTATATTCTGAGTTTTATAAAAGCCGTTTCGAGATATAAGAATATTATGTGCGGTTAATTATCACCCCCATTAATATCTAATTTTTATTATTTAATTTATTTCTCTAATTTATTTTATTTAATACAGACGTAGAAACTGATCATATTTTTTTCGCAGGCCAAACACCAAAGCGATCAGCAGGCACGAGAGCGAAGAGATACTCGCTAGCGTGAAAGCTGGCAGCTACTGGCGGAGCAGCACTAAGCCCGACATAATTCCCTCCTCTTCCACTCAAGACTTACAGAAGGAGAGCGTCGATCTGTCGAAGGTCAGGCGAAGGTCGAGACGGAGACCCGCCACCTCTTACGGCTTTCCAGAAATCTCTATCACAAACGATACGAAGACTATGAGAAGGTAACATTTATTAGAACATCAAAAGTGATTTCAAACTTTAAAACTATTCATATTAGAGTTTTAAATTGAATTATCGACTGCTATATGTATATTTACGACCTAACTTTTTAAGTATGATTTCGATTGTTTTTAACGACATCTAAAAACTTGATTATAAACTTGTTTTAAAAAAATTGTCTTAATTCAAGTGTGTGTTATAAATAAGAATACTGCCATCTATCAATAATCAAAATTAATAAAGCCTTTATTCCATTCTTTATTACTTTTTAAATAAATAAATTTTTATTTCGATACAAGGAAATACCATACGCTGAAGAGTCTCGTGTACTCGGATGAGATAGAAAACATAAAGCAGTTGAGAGAGAGGCCCAGATCAGCCGGCTCTACCGTCAGACACAAGGACGTGCTCACTAGACCTACTATACTGGAAACCTTGGACTTTATCAATAGTGTCAAGGATGCTTTATGTGGTATGTTACTACGATTTCACAAGTGCATACAGTCGATCAATGTTATTTAAATTCAGTCACTGCATGGTAGGATTTGCTGGCAAATATGATGTTTTAGAATAATACTGAAAGGAGGTTGCCCATCGGAGTATGGAATTTGGTTTCGCGTTGTATCAAGATATGTCGTTATCTAATTTATCCCATTTTTAAGGAATTTAAAGGTTTTGAAAACTTCTATATAAACAAACTACAACTACTAGACAAACAAGAATGAACTAAAATTGTCACGCAGGATGAGCGCGCATGGGTGCGTCGCCGTCTTGTTTACTAAGAAAGAGTAAGCGAGACGGCAATATACTCGACCAAACGATGTATTATAGTCTTGTTGACCCAACAATTTAGCGAGTAATTTTCCAGTACTGAACAGTATACAGTATAGTGTTTGATTACAATATTAAATTTTCAACCTGGATTGAAATTTACTAAACCTAATCATTAATCAAGATCTTTGTTTTTTTCTTTTGATCTTTCGCTCAGCAAATCAGCGTTTGTACTCGAAATTAGTTAAGTAAGAGGTAATTATAATAATATACTCTATTGCATTCTACACAGGACAACTTACAAATTACAAAGCATTAGAAAACAGTGTACAAAAAGTCGGCTTAATTGCTATATAACAATATCTTGTAATATGGTGGTGTGGGTGCAACATGTAAAAAAAAGAACAGCATATTATAATAAAAAAAGTAAAAATCCAAACCAGAATTCGAATTCACTCAGGTGTCAGAATTGACATTCGCTCAATCTTGAATTGGTAATAACGTTTCATGGCATAAGTGAAGTGAGTTTCTAAATGACATAGGAATAAAATATCTGAGACATATGTGTCATTCAAACAAATTTGTTTTATATTTTTATACGAAAAAATGGAATCAATAGCATTCTTACACTAAATGACGTGAATTCGGACACACGAGTGAATTTAAATTTGGGTCTGGATTTTGAACAGAATCGTAGGGCTGGAAAGGAAATAATAATAAATCAAACTAGATGTCGCGACGGTACGTTCTCGATTTCTCCATGACAACCCTACCGGTTTTCTTTCATATTTAAAAGTAAATTATTTTTCAAAACTCAATAAACAACTCATATTCTATTTGTACTATTTCGTATTTGTATTGATATCTAAGTTCCAAACTTTTCAAATTTCAGTTTTTTAACATGTTAGTTAAAAGGAACGAAAATGACTGACAAAATCCATTTGTTTCCTGCAAAAATCAATTTTTCCTAGAGTCACCATCTAGTGGAGGTGTTTTATAGTGCTTTCGTTTTTTTTTTAAAATACTTCCTCATTAACGCCAAATGTTTTCATCGAGCGAGCTTGCCTAATGTTTTCTGATACTGAACAGTTAGGTAATATGCGTGTGTATTTCACAAGTGGAGGAATCTGGCGCGTCAGACGCAGAGGATCAGGGTTGGCACAGCGCGGGCGCTTTGGAGTGGGCGATGGCGCTCGCGGCGCCGCTGTGCGTGGCGGCCGCGCGCGCCGGCGCCCGCGCGCTGCATCTGGCGCCCGGGGACCTGCTGCCGGCGCTGCTGCGTCGCGGCAGGTTCACCGTCAGTACCACCACATAAGTAAACAAACAGCGTTCGAAATAAACACGAAACTCTTCAATTCGTGCGTGTTGCCAGTGATGACATACGGAACTGAGGGCAACTTAGATGGCAATGGAAAGGACCATGCTTGGGGTTTTTTTGCGAGATCGAATCAGAAATGATGAGATCCGCTGACAAAGCCCAAAGAATTGTGAACCTCAAGTGGCAGGGGGCAGGGCACGCTTGCAGGACTGACGGCCGTTGGGGCCGTAAGGTTTTGGAGTGGCGACTACGTACCGGGAGACGCAGCGTTGGTAGGCCCCCCACAAGGTGGACTGGCGATCTGGTGAAGGTCGCGGGAAGTCGTTGGATGCGGGAGGCGTAGGACCGATCATATTGGAGATCTTTGGGGGAGGCCTATGCCAGCAGTGGGCGTCTCTCGGCTGAAATGATGATGATGATGGCATCTGAAAATCAATTCTACTTTCTCCAAAATTACGTAACAAGTGCTTCGAAATGCTAATACGTCGCTCCAGATAGATCAAACTGGGTATGCTTCAGTGGTAATTGATGCATTAGCACCGGATATACGAAAGGTCGTGGGTTCGAGTCCCATCTCAGAGTGCCAGGGACAAAGTCGATTTTTTAAGAATTTTCCGTTAAGAATATTTTTCAGTATAGTATTTTGAATGCAAAATCAAACATAATAATTACTCTAAAAATGTAATTTTTGTTCGAGAATCAAGTAAAGTCCTCAGGTTGTGACGTTTAATTGAATGATACAGGTCTATAATTTGCGTAAGCCACCTGTTTTCAAATCGTCTCATGGGAAGAAAGCATATTAGAGGTCAGGCTTATAGTAATCAGCACCCTATTCGAGGAAATAGGATTTCAGAATTGTAAATCATACTTGACTAGTGACTGGAACTTATGCTTTAATATGATTTAAGTTCTAAACTCGTAGTAAAAACAGCTCATTGACAGGGCCTCTCAAAACTGTCACGCCATCAGGTGAGCGAAAAAACGGTGGCCCTCGGTAACATCCAAAAACCAATTCTATTTCTCCAAAATGTTCAGTCATCTTTCGAAATCTGGCCTAAGAGGGTTGTAAAGCTTACTTGACTATTAAATTAAATTTTGATAACTCAGATCTGAAATCAGATACTCAAATTATTAAGTATCGTATTGATAAGTGACTTTGTGATCTTAAACTAGTATGGGCCATGAAAGTCATCAATTGTAGTAATTTTCATTATGGAGTTTTTATAATTATTTTTATATTTTTTTAAGATATTGCAAGAGCTATGCTGTTATTTGGGTGATGCCGGTGAAGGTGCTTTATTTGCCCTTCATAGACTTGCTAGAGCTGCTAGATCCAGGAGTAGCGAAAGGGCTTCCAAGTAAGTTATTTTAATTTTTCGCTAATGTTATTAATATGAAAGTCTGAGACGCTATGACGGAAAAATTGTGTAGCAACATAGTTCATCATATTCCTAGGGTTTAGTTTTTTCTCTGATCTTAAACGGCACTTTGATTATTTTTACCTTACCATTTAGAATTAAAACATTCAACTTTATTCCTGCAGTTCTGTTTTGCACACACTCTACCCTATCAAGAGCAAAGCCTCAACTGGTCCCCAACGTGGGGCAGATAGGATAGTGGTCGTGTTAGGGTACCTAGTGTGCGTGGTGCACTGGATTGATCACGATGATTGAAATATTTTGAGACCGTGTTTGTTGTTCAAAATATCAATAATACATTATTAATTCACATAGACATAAGCAAAGATAAGTCTAGTATTTCAAATGCTAACATAAATCCGAGCTAACTCTATCTGCTAGTTCATGGAAACTGCCCGAGCTGGAAGGGGCTCCTGTTGAAATGGTACAGAAGTATCGCGTGCGGCCTCCTGACTACGTATCTGGTGACGAGGGACCGCCCCCGCCCCCGCCCCCTCCTCTGCCGCGGCGGACTAGCAGCAGTAAGCAGGTCAGATAATAAGCCATATGTTTGATCAACAAAAATTTGATTCATGTTACTTAGATAAAAGTACATTCTAGATACTGAATACAGAATCCTCCATAATGTCACTTTGTTTTAGTAATTTAATCATTTGAAACCTTTGCAGATATCCCGTTACATTGACTTTCATCCACCCCAGCGGCTCCAACAGCATGACAACCGTCTAAATTATCTGGAGACAAACAAATTACCAATCACCCCTAAGCAGCTAGAATATACAGGCATCATCAACCCTTTATACGATATCAAAATTCCAAGAGATAAATTTAGAGTTAAAAGATCTAAGTCTTTGGGTAGAAGCTTTAGCTCCAAGAATCTTGGGTTAGAAATAACTAGGTAAGGTAATTTTTCGTTAAGGATTTTTTTATATCTTAAAGCTAAAAAAGTTAAAAAAGGTAACATAAAAAGGGTCATCATCATCATTATATGATTTATTAGTGACTCCGCTGTTACGACATAGATTTTCAATTATCTATGCTATTATCAGAAAAAGTAACCAAACCACTACGCGGGCTCATTGTGGATTGGTGGGTGTTAGTAAATCTTTCAGCAGCATGAAAAGTAAAAGTCAAAACAAGTCTCATTGAATCACTAAAGTCTCATTTAAATGGTAAATATATATTGCTTTGGAACATTTAGATAGAGCGCATTCTTTGTATTTGTAATCATTAGATCAGCCGAATATATCATTATAATTTTTAACTTGGTTCAGCGAGACAAAGCTTAGCATATGTTCAACATTAAAATCAAGTGTTGCAAGGAAGATATCTAGGCCCGCAATTCTTTATCGCCTTCGTATATTCTTGGAGTAAATAATTATCAAACGCTTTGTTAATGACGATAATTGATTGATAAATATTAATTTTGCTTTCAAATTAAGTAATATAATGGGATATTTAACTGTATAATTTTACAGGTACAATTTAACCTTGGGCCATAAAAGCGGGAAGAAGACAAATGACGTCGTGACTGCGATCACAGGAATGACGGGGGAGACGGGTTTGGATCCGAAGAGCAATTTCTTCCAAAGATATACCACCGCTGAAGTTGTAGGTGATTCATATAAAATTAGTAGGGTTACTATTGATTGAAAGAAAGTGATTATTGCCATGTAATTATACTATTTTTATATCAGATATTTTAAAATAAACATCTTTGGTGTAAAAATTCAGAAATTCATGAAATTCGATAGAAAAATGAAACATTTCATTTCTAATATAAAATAGATTAATGAGACAAGGCACCTAATAGAAAAGGACATGTTCATAATAATAAACATGTTTTGGTTTAAAAGCATGTATTTGGTTGATTTTATATTTTAAATATATTTTATATTTATTTTATAATTGTCTAGTGAACATTAAGATCACTTCAAACAAAAGCTATTTGTCGGAAACGGTGATTTAGTTATTTTCTGGAACAATTTCCTAATTTTATTATATGAAAACTGCGTGCGGGAATATGAAATCAATTCTGTTGTATCAATGATTTATTACCGAATGGTTTTTATTGTTGTGTAACTTTTCAAGTACTTAACGAATAACTAGGTACATGTTAAAATCATAGTTAAACACGGTTTTTTATGGTTATATCACGTAGGTAATAATATTGCCATTTTATTCCCATCTTTATTTTTTTGTATGTAATAATCTGAAATCTAAAGAGTTGTATGTAAAATACATAAAAATACTCTAAGTGCAAATATTTGTAATTTTAAGGTACACATTTTTCAAATTAAATAGTTATTAACTGGACAGTTCAAATAGTTTTAGGGAAATTGTTATGATCATGCATATTTTAATAATTGAAGTAGAAAATATAAATAATGTTAAATGTTATCAATTTATTATGTAAAATGAATTTTGCTAGTATTTTAGACTTTGTTTCCTTTAGGCTCTTGGTAGGGTTTTTGGGTACCTTATCATGTAAAAAAAAAGGAAAGATAAGTAACCCTCCCCCCCCCTCATACTAAATTGCGTAATAAATTGATGGTACATACCTGGTTGTACTTGAACATTGTAATATGATTATGAACAAGAGTTAAAAATAAAAGTAAAGTGTAAATAGTCTTTTCATTTTCAATTACTTTCTTTACACCCCAAAAAATTATCATATCACGTAGGTAAATATGAAAGGCGCAACAAGAAGTGCTATTAAAGCATCTTGTAAGACTCTGTGTCCGTTTTATAAAGTTGTCATTAATGATTTAACTTTATATTGCTCAGGCGTGTAGCTAGGGTTGCCACCTTTTTTTCCCCAATTAAAGTACATTAGTTATTATAGGTACAAAAACAAAGTAAATTGAATCAAAATAAAGTATTATTTATTTTTCTTTATTACTAAACTTAAAAATACATTTTCTTTTTATTTATCGATTCAGCATGAATCGATAAATATTATTAATATTTGTTTAACGAAAAAATACTTACGACTAAGCTTCAAAATCACAAACAAATCAAATCATTCGACATAAAGTATTTTCGTGTACTTTACTTTTCTTATAGAGTATAGAGTACAATTGTCTGAAATAACGTACAATACTTTATTATAAAGTACGGGTGGTAACCCTAGGTATAGCTGCCTAAGGTCTGAAGCTATGACTTTAGGCAAAAATTTTATTTTAGATAGGTGTTATTAGTTTTATCAAAGAATACCTTTATAATCTTTAATAATGTTCTAGTTTTATTGTTTACATATTAAATAAATGGTTTTGGTTGTTGTTGTTTTCATAAAAGATGATTAATAATTGAATTAGAATTCAGATAAACGAAAGCTAAATAAACCACAAGTATATACTCTACTATATATACTTTAAACAAAGTATCTTCCCGCTGTCTGTACACTGAGATCTCTTAAACTACACAACGGATATTAATGCGGTTTTCGTCAATATACAGTAGATAGTTTATATGTATAGTATAGTGCCACGTGTGTTAAGTCATTGGCGGAAAGCTAGATATTGATAAAATCATGATAACGTTCTGCTATTTATGACTAGAGCCATAAGTAGCTAGAGAATGAGGAAGTATTAAAAAAAAGAAAGTACTAAAAAAGCACCTCCACTAGATGGCGACTCTAGCAAAAGTTGATTTTTGCAGGAAACAAATGGACCAAAGACAGTAATTTCCGTTTCTTTTAACAAACATATTAAAAAACTGAAATTTGAAAAGTTCGAAACTTAAATATCAATACAATTACGAAATAGTACAAATAGAATATGTGTTGTTTATTGAGTTTTGAAAACTAATTTACTTTTAAACTTGAAAGAAAACCGGAAGGGAAGTTTCGTGGTGCCGCCAATCGTTCCATGTGTTCTCCGAGGTTTGATCCCGATCGGGCGAATATAAAAAAAATCTTATAGGTATAAAATAAACATTTCAAATACTTTCCTTGAAATAGAGGCTTGTTTAAAAAAATCGCTATATTTTTCTAGACAAAGAATCTCTATGAACAGTTTCCAACTTTGAGTCGAGACACGGAAAGTTGTCAGTTTGTATCAAACTTTTTAGCCGTTGTTGATTCGGATGTAAAATGAAATGCGATACCGAGGGCGGCCCGGTGTACAATTGCTAAGTGTCCTAAGTTGGTTTGTTTATGGCTTTTTTACCTTTTCTGAAGCTATAGATACCGTTGTGGAAGTTATAGATACCGTTTATTGCCTTATAGTCATTATCATTTTATTTATAAGGTACATAGTAGGTGTCCCGTAAGTAAGTTCGAATATTTGGTGGAAAAAATATCTTTTTTTTCTTTTTTTT